GGATCATCCGAGCAGCGAGGATTTTGTGCACATCGACAACACTAACCCTAATGTTCCGGACGCATTGAGCGATAGCATCGTGAATGTTGAAAAGGAGGAAGAGGAGGAAGGAGAAGAAGACAACGAAGAAGAGATACAGAACGAGGGTTATGACGGAAACAATGATTACGATGTTTCTACGCAGGACCGATCCGGTTCCTCCGAGGGCAGGGAGCTCCCGGAGGAGCTTTTGAGGAGCGTGATGGTTCTCTCGTGCGAATCTTCCGCCGATGGCGGCGATTGCGATGTGTACTTGGTTGGGACTGCGCACGTCTCTCTGGCACGTGCTGGTCATGGTTTCTGTTTGGTTTAACGAGAAAATTCTGGATAGAATTTAAAAATCGCGGTTCTTTTTTTTCTAATTGAGCTTAAAGGAAACTTATCTGTAAATTATCTTAAAGTTATATGTGATAATCTTGGATGGGCAATAAGTATTGTAGAAAGAGATTGATATTTACTCATTGTGGTTTTGCAGGAATCATGCAGAGAAGTTGAAGCTGTAATCAGTTGTTTGAAACCACAGGTGCTTCCCTTCTGAAACTAATTAACTCTTGATTCATGGATGGATCATTTAGCAGGTTAGCTGCCTGAGTTTATATTGTAGGCTGACTTGAAACTCGCCTCAGTAATTAATTTGGACTTCGAAACTCACATGCATTTTTTTAAAATAAAATTTGTTTCCTTCAGGTTGTTTTCTTGGAGTTATGCTCAAGTCGAGTTGTAGTGCTTACTCCGCAAAATTTGAAGGTTTGTTCTTTCTTTAGTAAATTCTTTGCTTTTAAGGAAAGGGGGTTAAAGTAAGGCTACGTATATTGAATTTGGATATTGAAGAGAGTTTTTGGTGCACTCTTTTGATATTCTTGTGCATTCTCTAATTACCCTTGCATAACTTAGTTATGAAGGCTTTTTTTTATTGTAAAACTGTTAAATTTTCATCTTCTAACTTAAATCCATCGACTACTAGGTACCAACCATGGGAGACATGATAGATATGTGGAAAAAAAAAGCATAACATGTTTGGTATCCTTTGCAGCTGGTTTCTTGCAAAGGTACTTGTCTCTTAGTACATTTTGTTCATGTTCCTTGGGGATTGTTGTTGTTCCCTGGCTGAGTAAGCAATTTATGTGTCCTAAATCATTACCGATACCGATAGGTTGCTAGTAGGCTTGAGGTTTTCCCTGGTTCTGAATTTCGTGTGGCATTTGAAGAAGCAATGAAGTATGGTGGCAAGGTGATTCTGGGCGATCGTCCTGTACAGGTAAGATGTTTCACTGGTTACATAGTAGGATCGCTTCCTAAAAGAAAACTTTATGGTTTAAGTTGTTGGAAAAACATTAATTTACGTCCAACAATCTAGTTATTGTTCAGAGGAGAGTTGTTGGGAAGGTTGTCACATTTTAAATTTATGTTTCTCAATAAATGAAGTTGGACTGGCATTTCTCAACCTAATTGCTTTAGGAAACCCTTAGGGTGCATTTGGGTGGAGGAATACTTCATTACTGGGTGATTATCTTTTCCGGAAAACTATTCATGCATTTGATTTGCAAGTATTCCCCCCAGGTGGTAATGATACGTTACCAACAATGCCAACTATTCATAAAAATTGATGGGAATGCTATTTCCACATATTAATTGATTAATGCACGATTCGTAGCATTTTGGACCATATTATCCTAAAATAATTTTTTTTGGTATCTGGATCCTCATCTTCTCTATTTATTTATTTCATGAATAAACAAAATTTCCCTAAAATAATTTGATTAATATTTAAGGATTAATCAATAGTTTTCAGTTTTAACAATGAAAATTTTTATTGACTCTTGACCAAATTGTTTAAAATGTCAATAGTTCGATTAGTTAACCAAATAATTTGGATTTGAGTAAATTTATATTACATGCCTACCAATTAACCAAACAAGTTGATGTGACATTTCCAACATTTCCAATGACATGTCAAGTAATGTTACATTCTGGTAATCCTATTCCTAGAGGTATCTTACATTACTCGAATCAAACCCCCTTATAGTTTAAACGCCTAATGTTGGTTGCATGATAATGTGCTTAAGTCTTTCCGCACATTCCAAGTATGGTGTATTGGTGGTACCATGTGTTGCTTTGCTACTGTTTTCTCAACATTTCATGCTAGGGAAGCTCTTTATGTACATTTATTTTTAATCATGACCTGCAAGCATTTTCAAAGATTTGATTGGATGAAACAGGTTACATTGTGCAGAACCTGGGGGAAAATGCCACTTTGGCATAAGATAAAGTTACTGCATTCCTTACTATTTCAGGCTGTATTCTTGCCAAGCCCTGACGAACTTAACAAAATGGTGAAGTTCCTTTTTTTTCTCTTATTTCATCACCAATCAAATTGCTTTCTTTACATTTTCATATATGAAAGCACTTGGAGTTATGGAAACTAAAGTCCTTATGATGCTAAAAGTTGTATTATATGTTCAGTTGAAGGACATGGATGATGTTGACATGCTTACTCTTGTGATCCAAGAAATGAGCAAGGAATTCCCAACTCTAATGGAAACTCTTGTACATGAACGAGACCAGTCAGTATTCTTTTGCTCCCTTAGATGCTTATCAAATTATTTGTATTAGATTATGTTACTTGAACTTTAATTTTCTAAAGCACCATTGTCCAGCACATATTCAGACATAGATATAGGGGCATGACCTTCCAAATATGTGTATATATATAAACTAGGGAATATTGACCTTACCTCTTTTGTACACGTACCCATACCCAACACATTGAGTTTGGTTAACTTCGGGTATCAATGCTACTCTTTTGGACACTTTCTTGATTACAAATCTAAATTGCATTGTTTTCTTTCTCCTTCGAAATTTTATATAACCATTTATGATTTAAGTTTGCTTGTGTAGTTTTTTCCCTAGCCTTGCTTCATATTGTTGAATAACTTGTCAAGTACTATTAAGCCTTTTCATTTTATGCTTTTTCAAGCACATATTTTATACTTGTGTTACTCGGTGTGTTTGATCTTGTGTAAACATTCAGGTTCATGTCATCCATGTTACTAAGAACTGTGAGTGAGCATAGTTCAGTTGTCGCGGTTGTTGGTAAAGGCCATTTGCAAGGAATTAAGAAATACCGGAAGCAGCCTGTTTTGATGGATGATCTAATGACAATTCCTTCACAGAAACAGACAGTTTCAACCTGCAAAATTCTCGTATCCCTGGGCATCGCAGTCGCTGGTGTGGCTATTGTTTCAGGCATACACCTTGCAGGCAAGAAATAATACTTAAATATCATTTTTGGTTGAGCAAAACACGAATTTTGGTGAAAAATCTCGCCTTAAGCTTCATATATGAAGTTTTAAAGTTCAAACTCCATGGAGCTGACAGATAAGATAGCCAGTTTATTTCTCAACAAAAATTGGGAAAGAGAAAAAACAGAGGCTCTGATACTTGGCAGAAAAGATTTTGTTCAAAGCAGTTTTGATCATTTTGTTGATATTTTTCTTCTTCCAGAGTTTTAAACTTTTTTGGTTTCCCCTCAATTTTGGACTGCAAACTATTTTCTTGCCTTCACTTATTACCAGCTTTACTCATTGCTACTTACATTGTTTCTTGTTGTAGTTTTTTCAAAGCGTTTTTGTCAAAGTCCATATAAGATAAAATGTCTATTTTAAACATTATTATAAAATTAAATACATTAATTTAAACTATATTTAAAATTTAGGGTAAAGTATGCAAATAGTTCCCTGATTATAGGATATTGTTTCGCTGAGTGCCTTGATTATTAAAAATTATAAAATGATTCCTGAATTATAAGGTGTTATTTTATTGAGTCTTTCGACTATTAAAAGTACAAAATGGTCACTTCACTATCTATATATTTTAAACTTGTTATTTTTTGTTAAAAAATAATGACAGTATGAGCTGAACGTTATTTTGTTAACCGAATATTTCATCTCACTCATTACATAATAATTGAAATATAATAATTTGTCTCATTAGATAAATTTTGATTTTAAAATTTAAATATTCAGTATTGTTGTTAAAAAGTATTTTCAAATAGATAGTGTTTATTTTAAATTACTTTTAAAGACAGAAAAATGATAATACAAAAGAGAATAAATAAATAAATAATATTGTTTAAAAACATTTGAATTTTTAATTTTTTTTTATAAATTTCATATTTTGAAAAAATCTTATAAAAAGTTAAAAAGCACTTTGAATTTGAAATTTTACTTGTTTTTGTATGTTTTGGTTTCGAAATTATTTTTATTTCTAAAATACTTTTGAAAAATAATTTTATTAAATTTCATGATTTTTAATTTAAAATTAAGCACTATCTAATTAGTTTTCATGATGTTTTAATTTAAAATTAAGAACTATCTAATTAATTTTCATGATTTTTTAATTTAAAATTAAGCATTATCTTTAACAATATAATTGTAGTAATAATACATCTAAGTCTCAATTGATCGAACATATTTTCTTTTCCGAATGTATATTTCATGTTTGATTGTAATTTTTCTTAAATTAATATATTTTTCCATTATTTTTATATTATGGGATAAGTCACATTTTAGCCCCTAAATTTATTCAATTTTTATTTTTATCTCTAGTTTTTATGGACATTGTTATCTAAATTTCTCTACCTTCTTCATATCAACACTCTTTTGGTAATTGTTTTTATTTCTATAATTTTTACAAATTTATATTTCTCTAATTGTTATATATTTTTCTAATTTACTACAATTTCTTATATTTTTATGTTTTCTTTAAACATTTTTATTTTCTTTGTAACATTATTACAAGAAAAGGTACTAATGTGAGAAATCTAAACAAATTTAGGTATTAACGTGAAAAAATAGACAAGTTAAAGTCCTAAATTGGAAAAATGAACCAAATTAGAGACTAAAATGTAACTTATCCCTTTAGCATTACCAGCAACTAGATTGCATCATTTAGAGAACCTGTGAAAAATGAAATCCAAAATTTCAAAGTACAGTTCCATCAAATTTGGTTACAATTGAAAGTTTAGTACAAAAATCTGATTTACAAAGCTTAGTGAAGGCAGGTTTCTCACTGAAACAGGTTACATTAAGCCAAAGTCTCTGTTGACTTCCCGCTCTGTCCAACTACGTTGACATGCGGAATACTCAATTCAACGGCCAGTCTAAGCTCTTATTATCATTGCTTACGGTCCAAGCACCTTCCCCAATCTCCTGTAACAGTTGGTGTCGGCCCCAACCCGTGTAGCCGAAGAAAAACCAGTAGTCATTGATCGATTGATTTCCGGCCTTTAGCTTTTCAATACTAGCAACTGTAGCAAATTGATCGAGAAAGTAGGTGCCTGGAGACACTTCGACATACTGAGTTTCTCTTTCGCTAACTGTCCTAGTTAAAGCAACGAAGGGCATCCCACGTCTTAAAACGGGGCCTCCAAAAGAGATAGGAGCCTCTTTAAGGAACTCTAAACCTTCTTCGAGTTGATCTAGAGCATCCCATTTGATTTGCTTGTTAAATATCAAACCCTGAAATCCAGCTTCTTCATCTGCCTTCACAATGATAATCTTTGAATTATCAAATGGGATGACCTCGAGAAGTTTATCAGTGGCAGTAAGGATCGAACCAACAACCACCTCAACTATGGCTTTATTCGAGATAACTGATACGTAAGACCTAGACTTGCCTCCATTGTATTTAGCAACTCTTTTCGGGTTCTGGTTTTTTAATATAACTTCATGAAATTTGTCCTTGGTAGATTGACCTTCCTCATAAGCTGCAACCCTAGGTGAATCCTGCTTCTTCCCATCCACTTCGGTACTCGTCCATAATATTCCTACCAAAACCGGAGAAAACAAAGTATATGGTTTTCTCATAACCAGAAAAATGAAACAAAAAACAGAAAATCAAAAAAACCAAACGACACCTATTCAATGCACAAAATATAATGTTGTAGAGCATGAGTGTTCCTTCGATGAAGTTTTGATTTAGGACCCAACTTATATGGGTTTACTATATATATATCTGTATATATATAGGTTTCAACAGAACTGAAAAAGTATAAATGAGCACTAACAGCAAATACAAACTCACATTCATTGCTGAGGGGTTTAAAATGGAACTTTAAATTATTATGAAGTAAAAAATCGACATAAATTATTTAAAGCTTAAATGGACAAGTAGAATATGCTTTCAACCATCAACGCCAGAGTTGCATTTGCCTACAAAAAGCCTTAAAATAGAAATGCTAGAAGACTCCTTTCTTCATTCTTGCGGACAAAAACTAAGCGTCATTTTGAAAGAAAATTGAACAAGAGATCTTACAGTGCCTTCACTGCTATTATTCCCCTTTTGGAAGCATAGTAGATGCTAAAATGATAGTTTATCAATTGAAAAAGAACAATCAAGTTGAGGAGGCTGAGAAAATCTAACATAGAACAAAGATAGAAGAAAAACAACTAGAAATGAGGGAACTACCTTCAGTTATGGACAGTAGAACGAGAGTAATTTAAAATTTAAGTCACTATTAGATATATAAGAGAACCAAATAACTAATTACTATAGTGGGGACACTTGAACCGTGTAGAGTTGGAATAAAGGAAATTACAAGTACACCAGAGAAATTAAGTCTACACTAACAGGAAATGTTTAAACAAGAAAAATAAGAAGATAAGAGAAAAGGGTATAGTGGGCATGAAGAACAATTAAAAGTAGGTGAAAACATCAAACCTATCCGTTTCCTTCAAAGATTAAGAGATGTACACATCAACGCAGAAGTTACCTTTCTCGCTATAGAGATGATGGGAATTACTTCCATGACGAGCTATAAACTTGATTATATTGGCTACTGATATATCTCCATTGTAAGAGATAACCGTTTCAGTTTCAGCTGGGAATAAGATCAGAGCAGGATAAACTTCCCTCTGCAAAACCCCAGATTTATTGACGGTTAACAAAAATATATAAACATAACAAAAATTATTCTTTTTCTTTTGCAACAATGGATGCATACAATCTCAACATAGTAGAGGATAGGAGGATTGGGAAAAAGGACTACCGAATTTCACAAAGAATCAGAAAAGAATGTAAAATTAACCTGGTTTACTGATTCGAGGATTAAACTGCAGTCATTCATTGTGCAATCCATCAGATAGATGAATGGAAGTTTCGTATTATTCATCGAGTTGTCTGCCACAAATATAACACTAGTCAATACATAATTATTTAGGAATGTTTTCCCATTTTAACATTCTTTCTACCAAAAAAACAAGAAAAGAAGTTCTTCCATAATGATAACAATAATAATAAAAATGACTCAAATACTTCATAAACATGAAGCAGCATTTCCTAGCAGAAAGCATATAGAATAATTCGCCGATTTAATCAATTTTTATTTGTCAAATTGAAGATACAGAGAAACAACATATTAGGTGTTTATCTCATAATGGCTCCGAAAAGGAACCCTGAGAAGCATGCCTACTAAACTAATAAAACTAGTTATTATACGGTTTTCTGAACAGGATCTCTGTACTGCTGCTCAAAACATAACACAATTCCAAGATAATCAATCAATATCCTTGTTCAAAGACAGCCAAATGTGGCTCTCAGTCTTACATGCTTATTTACAAATTCACACAATTTTTATTCAAACTATCAAATAATATGCCTACTTATTTATTTATTTATTCTTTCTTTCTTTCTTTCTTTCTTTCAATAAGGTGTACACAAATAGCTATAGGTCTAAATATGACAAGAAGAATAAAGTATTGAATATCAAATTAATTATAAATGTGAAAAGTAGTTACCAGCATCAAATGGTGCTTGCCCTTTCAAAGAGCCACTTTTCAACATTTTCATGTAACCACTTAGGGACCGATGTACTTCACGAACAACCAACTCCATTCTCTGGCAAAAGCCACACCAATTACTACTAAAAAGTACAACTATATCCTCACTGCGAGCATGGGCCGCATTTCCACAGTTAGATTGGTTAGACCCAAAGACAAGCTTGGTCAAAGTATGCATCGTAACTTGAGGGATGGAATCCATTTCATGAAAATCTAGATTAACAAACGGCGGAGAAGTAGACTCCCTCGGGCTGTGAAGAACAGGCGCAGAGCGTTGATATGGAACAAGACTTCCGTTAAGATATTCATGAAGAAATTTAGAAATTGGCATGTGACTTAAAATTGTATCTTCGGAGTAGACATAATGATGCTGAGATCTAGGATCAACTAAAACCAATGATGGAATTGTTGATCCACCAGTCAAAGATTCAAGTAGTTGATAGTTATCATCACATAAGAAAAAAGAACCCTTAAACTCTTGAACTTGAGGTTCAAGTAATTGTTCCGAATTCTCTATATCTGAAGAAATTGTCTCTTTTGCTTTTAAATCCCCAGCTATATCTAGCTCAAGACCTTCCATAAGTTTGTCAGATTCTATAGATATGAAATGTTTACTTTTATCAGAAGAAATTCCCTCGTCTTCCTTGTATGGAGAAGAAGGTCCAACTTTAACACCAACTGTTTGTGTTTTTTCCTCACGCACCAAAGCAGATTCAGTTTCCATTGGTAGACTCTGTGGATCAACAATATCAATTAAAGAAGCTTCCTGAGATGGTGGCAGTGAGGCATCATTAGATTGACCATCAGTTTGTGAAGGTACTTCCTGGGCTATTTTAATATCAAGATCATCTGATAAGAGATGAAAGCCTAATTCCTTAGCAAGTGAGCTCAATTTCGTATCTTTCTTTCTCTCAAGAAGATAAGCTAAGATCTCTTGCAAAGACTTGCCTTGCAAATCTGAGGCTATATCATCTAGAGTGACATGCTTACCCTCATTTATAACCATGAATGACATCTTATCCTTTGACTTAATCTTCTGAGCAGTTTCAGATAGATGTAGTCTTGGATGTCTTGATGTACCCTTATAAGCTAGAAGTGATGACTTGTCTTGATGTTGAGTATTTTGTGAACTCATCCAATCTGAAATCTGGTAGTGAAGCGCTACTTCTCTAAATGCATCAAGAGCTTCCCTACTTTTTCTTCTAGTTTCTGATGTCTCAGATGATCTATCAACAAAAAGGATTACAGATGGCTTATTTGAAGGTAAAGCAAGCGGAAGATCGTGGCCATCAAATTGTAGCTACATTGCATGGGAAATGAGTGAGGCACAGATAGAAAGAAATATAATCAGTATAGGAAAGACAAGCTATAAGGAAAATTAGAAAATAAAATCAATATTTAAAAAAAATAACCACATTGCATGTGGATTTAATTCATAGGAAATAGGCAAAAAAAAATGGCAGTTGGACTGCCACCCTTGAGCACGAAAATCAATTGTACTACATGCATGGTAATTATACTATGCTTGCTCATAGTTAACAAATGTATTGTTAAGGAGCCTTAGACACAACTAGATAGCAGTAATTCCAGTGGTGGTACGAAAGATTCCGTTAATCCACTATGCTTTAGTAATAGGAAAAATGGGTAATTGCAACTTCAAGTTAGAGCCTTTGGAGTAGAGCAAGGTGTAACAGAACTGGCAGAAGCTTACTATTCATGTGTCCAACCTATGATAAGAAAAAAGAAGCAAATACTGATGTGCTCGTTTTATGCATTTCAATGTCATACAATCAACCTAAGATTATTCTGTTCCCACCAAGCCTAAAACACCATAAAGAAGAAGGTATAAACCTAGAAGGCTTTCACCACAATCTTTTGGAGGCCACTGAAATGTAGAAAATCTCATACCTCGCGAATGACTGAATTGTCTGTCATTAAGGCATTCTTGAGTTCATCCTCATCTTTAATAACTTTTGAACAACCAGGACATCCTTTGAAGTACATCACTGCCATCCATGTACCAGAATCTTCAACACCAAGCAGTGACATCAATGATCTCTGAGAAATCAACCCAAATCTAAGCCTTTCGGGAGGAACTAAGAACTCTCTTCTAACATCAATCAACTTTGAGAAAAATGAATCAAATTGCTTATACTCTTTTAAGGTACAGCTCAATCCAAGACCAAATTGCAAATTTTCACTCTCCCGTGAAGAAACACTATCATTTACCATACTAAACTCGGTAATCCAAGGAATTTCAGCAATCCCATTTTCAACACCACATTTCAGCATCCCACTTTCCATTTCCTGAATTTCAAAAAAAAAAAAAAGGTTAAAGCAACAGTACCTCTAACCCCAATCCAAAATGTTCTCTTCATTAGTTAAATAAAATAAAATTAAATCTGGAAATGAATTGTACAAAGAAACTACCAGCAACCTTAGGCGTCAAATCAGTTCCATTATTATTGACCTTAGCCACTAACTTGGGAGCCCAACCGCAAAATTCAGCTAAAATCAAAGCTTTGTCATTTGATTCGAGAAATGATCTCAAGTCCTCCTGAGAATTAAGGGGCTTTAAAGGAAGTTCTTCGGCTGAAGCAGCTGACATATAAGGATGAATAGAGTTCAATATACTTTGAGCTCGAAGCTTTCCTTGGTACTTATAAGATACGGAGTGATCATAATAAAACACCGTTATTCCATCCGAAGCACCAATGGAATCGGCCAACATTTTCTCCGTGTTTCTATAAATAAACATCAATTTCAAGGAGTCAAACTCCGTTGACTTATCGGCAACTAATCGGGACACTTCCCGCATAAGGGACCGGGACTCGCCGCACCCTGTAAAACAAATGAGAAAAACGTGATTACAGAATACAAATTTAATATATAAATATTCATATTCGTGATCGTAAACTGAAATCCAAGAAAACAATTTGATTTGATTTGATTGAATTGAATTGAATCTGTAGGTTACATGGAACAGTAACGAAAAGGAGAGTGCGAGGGTGGCGACGGATCTGAGAGGAGTAGTTTAGGTTGGTGAGGATCTGCCATTCCCCCACGCCGTTTGATGCGCAATCAACGGATGACAATAACGCGAGTGAAATTATCAAAATCGGGATCGAGAAAATGTTCTTCATCGCCTTCACGATTTATGTTGCGACGAACACAAAGACACCGCTGCTGCTTTTTCCCAGTTCCCCAGCCCAGGTTCAACAGGCAAAGCAATGGAGACCCGAGTTTGGGATCGGGTATATGGGTTCCTCAGTTATTCGAAACCCAGAATCCATTTCGAATAGATGGGTCAGATATTATTTCTTAGGATAAACTATTTAAGGATCGTTTCAATTTTATTTGTTTTTTATCATCAATTTTTTAAAAAATATTGTAATACCTTCGAATTTAACCTTTACATGTCACTGAATTTATGAGTGTCACACAGAATTGTTAAATTTATCTAAGAATTCACGATCTTAAAAATACCACGTGATAAAAAATTTCACCACTCAAAATTTTTTGTACTCCTATTTTAATAACTAGCATGTAAAATTTTTATTTTACTTACTAAACTTTTGATTTGCTCTTATTCTAATCATTCGACTGTTAAATAATAAACGAGAGGGTGACATGGTAGTAACATATATTGAGGTGATATGTTTTCTTTTGAGATAAAATTCATGTGTCATCCATATTATTTTTCTCTTCTTCCTTCAAGATGAAAACATTTTCATCATCGTGTCATTACAATATTATAATTACTTTTCTCTAACATCTTCTCTTACTAGTAACAAACTCGACACATTATCTCATACCACTCTATCAGTTTAAATTTTACCTAAATCACTTTAAAAACTCATAAAATCCAATATGAAACTCAAAACTCATAAAATTCCAAAGCACTTTGATCAATAACGTCCATAGTTTGATCGGTGTGTAGTTAAGATATACAACTCGTTTCCTCATTTTCCATCATCCCACCGTTAGGATTTTGAAGAAAATATTTCATAATCAAGAAATCAAATTGCAATCGAAACTAATTGTTTTTTTCACAAAAATGAAAGAAATTTTTGGGCTTATTTCATAATTTTCTTTGAAAATATTCAATCATAATGTTGTTAAGTATTTAAGTAGTAGAGTAGCTAAAATAGAAGCAAATGGAAATTTTAGTGAATAAATTTAGAAATTTTAATTTTAATTATCAAAATATGAGTGAAAATAATTAATTTATAAATGTTACTACTTAAAAGAGAATTATAGAAATTTTAGTATCATGAATTAGTAATCAATATTAGTCGGATTAACTTAGTAGACATATAACATTTTTTTTTTTTGGAAAATCTGCATACAATAATTATTTTTTTTATTAATTTACGATGAATACAATATATATTATTTCTGTGATTGATTTAAAATTTATTTAACAATGGATGTTTATATACTCGTATAAATTACAGATGTAATATTGAACTCAAAATCTAAAATGATAACGATAATCCTTTAATTATTAAATTCATTTTTTTGTAGTTTGTACATAACAATTAATCTTAGATGAGATACAATCTTATAAATTTAATTCTCGCTCTCCATAACGATAAAAGAGTTCTTTCAGTTAATACAAAAATTATGATTCTTAACCCCATAAATTAATAACTCCTTCATCCTCATTGAAATTGATAATCTTTCTTCTGGTGTAAAGTGAGGATTTAAAATTCCAATCTATATTTCACAAAGAATACACCAAAAATCGATTAATTAAACTATTCTAAATTTTCACAATAAATTTATTTATTACATTATTTTGTTTATATTATTAATAACTATGGAGAGTGGTCGTGGGGCTTAAATGTCATGGAATATCGGTTTATGAAAGGTCATGCTAGAGACATACATTAAAGAAATATTAAAATTTTTGATGCAAGGTGCGTGGATGGATAAAGTATCATCGATGATATCACATATCATCTGGTTAATTCAGTAAAATTGACATTTTCATTTTGAACATATTCCGAGAAAACGAAATGGAGTTGCTGACGGATTGACAAAGATGACATGGAACTTGCCATTCGGACTCCATAACTTTGAAGACCCTCCGACGGAGATAGAAAACCTATTGATGAAAGATTGGAGAGGAAACATAGTAAACTAGCTTTGATATTTTTTCTACCTTTGTGTACTAAAAAAAATTATTTATTTAATTTTCTCAAAATAAAATAAAAATATAAAATACTATTAAACATGAAATTAACATTTAATTATGGTAACCAGAAGTACTTTGATTTTTTATTATTAGGAAATACAATTAAAAGAATATAAATTTGTAATAATAAAGAAAAATAAAATATTTTTATTATATTGAATTTTATAATGTTCATGAGATGGATAAAAAATATTTTATGTAAAAAGTATATTTTTAAAAATTATTCACAAATAATAATAAGTAAAGTAATAAAATATTTATATAAAAATTATTTAAATATATAAAAATAAAAATATTTTATAAAAATATTAAATATTATTAAAAATATTATAATTTTTTCAATCAATTTGGTATGACCTACCTGACATCGTCACATCAAATAAGTGAAGGATTTTATAATTTTTTTATTTATAAAATATAGTGATTTTGTTAAATTAATTATTTTAAAATATAATTTGATCTTAAGTTAATAATGGGTTGTAATTTCACATTTTCTAGATCGAGTTGTCAATTTCGCTCCCTGCTATATGTGTGTGTGTGTGTATTTGTGTTTTCAGCCATCCTTTTGTGATTAATTGTTCTCTTTTATTTAACCTTCGAACGAGAGATTAAGCAAAGCAGTGGCCAAAAGTATGTCGGCGGCGGCGACAACTAGCAGAGCGACTCGGCGGATGGGAGCCGATGATGAGAAGTTAGTCTTCGAGACGACGGAAGGAATTGAGCCGATAATGAGCTTCGATCAGATGGGACTTAAAGACGATCTCCTCCGTGGAATCTACAATTACGGCTTCGAGAAGCCTTCGGCTATCCAGCAGAGAGCGGTTATGCCGATAATCAATGGTCGCGACGTGATTGCCCAAGCGCAGTCTGGTACCGGCAAAACTTCCATGATTGCCCTGACCGTATGCCAAGTTGTCGACACTGCTAGCAGAGAGTATGTTTTAATTTTAAATCCTTTTGAAAATTAGTCTTCTGCTGATTTAAATGTGTTGCGGTATCGATTTCGTGTATTTTTATATAAAAGCCCTAATTTTTATACCCCTGATTGCTAAAACCCTAAAATTGAAACGCATTCGATAAAATTAGTCGTTTTCTGTTGCTTTAAATATGTTGTGATATCGGTTTCGTACTTTTCTTTTTGTGAAAGCCCTAATTCTTATATACTTGATTGCTAAAACCCTAAATTTGAAACACGTTAGATAAAATATGTGAAAAGTAAATATTTTTGAAAATGGTAAAATTATGTTTGAGTCTTGAGCTGAGGTTTCAAATCTAGTGATGGTTACCTATAATTAATTGGATTCCATACTTTTAAGCATGAATTCTCCTGCCATCTGCAAATTTTCCTATAATGTTAACTGGTGTTATTTCAGGGTTCAAGCATTGATCTTGTCACCAACAAGGGAACTGGCTTCACAAACGGAGAAAGTGATAAGGACAATTGGTGATTTCATGAACATACAAGCACACGCTTGTATTGGAGGCAAAAGTGTGGGTGAAGATATAAGAAAGCTAGAACACGGAGTTCATGTAGTGTCTGGAACTCCCGGTAGAGTTTGTGACATGATCAAGAGGAGAACCCTACGTACAAGGGCTATTAAATTACTGATTCTTGATGAATCTGATGAGATGCTCAGCAGAGGGTTCAAAGATCAAATTTATGATGTTTACCGACATCTTCCACCAGAGCTTCAGGTTCCTTCCTCAGTTTATTTAAATTGCCTTGTTCAAGTTTTTCTTATTCTTTGTTATGGGTCTCTTCTAATCCTTCCAATTAATTCTGTAACAAATTTAAATTTCTTTGGTGCAAGTTTGTATTGCTTGGTGCTTAATTTTTCTTGCTTGCTTTTACAATTTTAGAATTTAATTTGATTTTTCTTGCTGCTGTTGTTTTGTGATGTTGGTTAGACCTATCAATTGGGTGAATTGGGTTGGTTTCAGATATGGTTAATTTGGGTTGGGTCAATTAGATTTCAAATTTTTGGTTTAGTTACGGGCTTGGGTTATTTTGGGTTTGGGTCATTTTAGGTACTAGAAACATAGTTCTCTTTATTTATCCTTATCTGGGTTTTGTTTATGTGTGTTGAAATTGGTTTCTAATAAATGAATTCTTGTAGGTTTGTTTGATATCTGCTACCCTCCCTCATGAAATCTTGGAAATGACGAGCAAATTTATGACTGATCCTATAAGGATCCTTGTGAAGCGTGATGAATTGACTCTGGAGGTAATCAAATGCTTGTCATGTTAATGATATTTTTACAACTTCTAATATGGGACTCAACTCACTCAAGTCAAATATTTCTTCTGTTTACATTATTACAGGGAATTAAGCAGTTTTTTGTAGCAGTTGAAAGGGAGGAGTGGAAGTTTGATACACTTTGTGATCTTTATGACACGTTGACTATCACTCAAGCTGTTATTTTCTGCAATACAAAACGGAAGGTCTCTTCTGGAGCCTCATAAGCATGCATTTTGAGATTTGCTTTTTAACATGGGAGCAGAAACCTCTTTAACTGTGTTCTTATGTAATTCTTTTGTTTAAGTTTTTGGATTCCATGCTGTGATCTCGAGGCTTGTCATTTCTTCTTTTGGAACAGGTTGATTGGCTAACTGAGAAAATGCGTAGCAATAACTTTACGGTATCATCAATGCACGGTGATATGCCTCAGAAAGAAAGAGATGCAATTATGGCCGAGTTTCGTGATGGTGCAACCCGTGTTCTTATCACTACAGATGTTTGGGCCAGAGGGCTTGATGTTCAGCAGGCAAGTATTTATGGGTGCTTTTTGTGCCCCCTTTCTGGATGTATTTTTGCTTGTTTGTTTCTAGATGAGTAGCAATTTATTTTTTTGGACAATATAATATAGTTTGATGCAAGTATAATAGTTGGATATTATCTCGGAGACCAGTTATGTATAGTAGTAGCCTTGAGGTACAAGATTATAGAAGATTTAAAGAGCATATTATGTGCTTAGTTTTCTATAATTAGCCGACTTGCTTTATCTAATAAGAGAATGTGGAAGAAAGAAAATATTTAATTTTCTATCACTCTTGAAGGCCCTGTGTTTTCCATCTTATATTCTACTAAATTTACCTTTCTTGTTTCCAGGTGTCTTTGGTGATCAATTACGACCTGCCAAACAATCGAGAGCTTTACATCCATAGGATTGGGCGTTCTGGTCGGTTTGGTCGAAAGGTATTTCTTTTTATACATATTTTAGATCCTATTCCTGCCTTCAAGTTGCTTGTATTGCTACTACTGTATGTTGATTGTATTGCTGGTCTACAGGGTGTTGCTATTAATTTTGTGAAAAGCGATGACATCAAGATTCTAAGAGACATAGAGCAGTACTACAGTACCCAGATTGACGAAATGCCAATGAACGTTGCGGATCTGATATAAGAATGCTTGGATCAAAGGGTATGGTTGAACACGATTCATTGTATTTTGTGATCGACTTGTTTATCTAGTTGCACGTGTCTGAGTGATTGGCTTTGTAAGTCGATTGATGCAAACTGGAGGTTTTGGTAACAAGAAAAAAACTTATCAGATTAAGGCATAATGTTCGTGCTTTTGTTCCCTGTACTTGGATTTGCTCAAATTCCAGCAGTGTTGTTAATTTAGGAGTTTTGAAGTCTCGTCTCTCTTATTCACACCTTATGCATATGGTTTTGGGGTTGGATATGTTCATCTGTACCGTGTCTTTTAAGTACGATGGAAGTTTTGATTTACCAACACAGAATTTCAGTAACTCTTTTGAATTGTTTATTTATTTATGAGCATAGTAAATATATATTGAATTAATTACGTGCGTACAAACTTTAGACAAAACTGAAATTTAGAACCAAATCAGTGCAGTACTCTTTTTGAAATTTTTATAATAATTTATCAAGCGTATGGTTAAAGCATATATACTTTGAGACCTAATCCTTGTTCTGAAAAGTCAGGAAACAAGTCTGGGTGAGCTTAAGAAATCGTGATCTAATTTAAGATTTAAAAACGATGAATGAATTGCAATGATTAGATAAGGTATTTTAAAAATAATAATTATTATTATTGGAAATGAAAAAAATGTGAAATTAAAAAATATTAAGTCCCGATAATTATAAATATCGAGATTTGTTGTGAAATATCAGGGTGACATAATTAGCCCCGGGTTTCAATGAGTTTTTTTACTTTAAAATGCTTTTAGCTTTTGAAACTTAGCTTTTATGGTAATTTACACCCGAGAATTTATGAATCCCAATGTTTTTTTTATGAATTAATATTTATATTTTTGTAGAATCAAATATTTACTTTTTTTTGTTAATATTGTCACATCATTCATTTAACGGATATGGCGGTGAATTGATTATTTTGTTACAAATTAATAACATTATTAACCAATTTCTTATTTTTAAAACCTCAGTATGAAACACTAAAACCTATTTAAACATTAATTGTCATTTGTGTAGTTGAGTTCTTAATTTAAAAATCAATGTGATTTTCAGTATAAAACAAAAGGATTGGGGCATTTTCTTCATGATCCTATGTTGGAAGAAGAGAAATGCCTTCCTCTTCAATAAGAACAATATGGAGAAGGAAAGTTTTTAGATGATAACACTCGGTTGGTTGAAGAAATATTAAAGGAAAAAGTAGATCAAGATATGAATAACACAACACATATTAATATATTTGGTTGCGTTATATTTATCATGATTGCGAGATAATAAGTGTTATTATAGTCATTATAAATACGACGAACATGCAATAATTGTTTTGAACATCATCACTACTATTATATAACTACTATTATTCTAATAGCGGATCGCTATTTAAATTTATGAGATCAACTACAACATACAGTGTCTTTTGAAATGACATTGGGTATTGAATCTTTGACTTCACTAGGTTGGTTTAGCAGGGATGAGCGGAGGGAAATTAGTCGGGATGGAGAGCTTTACCAAGCCACCTACAGGTGTTGCTGCCATGGTGATGATGGAAGCTTCTGCCTTTGTTCAAGTAATTCTTTCTTCTTTTGGTTTTGTGTTACTCTATTGATTTTGTTTTATTATTTATTAAGTTTGTGAAATTTAAAAACCTTAAATATATTATTTTATGCCTCATAAATATTTAAGTGTTTGATTTCTTAAGAAAACATAATTATATATACTATTATGAAATTTTATATTGACTTAGTTTTACAGATTAATTGAATGTGAATTCAATTGTGAAATTATTAAAATATTTTTCTTTTAACTTTATATATAATATTTTACTATTAAACTTACTATTATTATTGGAAAATTCTTTTTTTAAAAATATAGGGTGGGTTTTTAAAAATTATGCGAATGACAAATTATCAAAGTATTGCATGAATTATTATTTCTATCCTTGGAAATTTCGATAAAAAAATATTGAAAATCATTAAAAAAAAACAGTAAAAAAAGGCACTAAAACGACGCCTGAGAGATTCGAACTCTCGCGGGATGAACCCATGTACTTAGCAGGCACACGCCTTAACCACTCGGCCAAAGCGTCGGTTGTTAGGGCATTTAATTCAATTATTTTTAAACTCATATAATGCGCTAAATCGTTAAGGGGCTTTTGCAACTTTTTCAACTTTGTTCGGTATTTTCCCCCAATGTAACCTATATGTATTTGTTATATATGAATTTGATCGTGTCCCAGATTGGTTTCCAAAAGAAATCAAAACCACATCAACTTGTTAACAACGTATTATTTCATAATCATATTTTTTTGAAACAATAATCATATTTATAATATTAACCTTGATACATTAATAATTCATTTTAAGTAGTTTTTTAAATCTCATATGTAAGTGTCTAATGCATTAGAAAATCAAGATTATGGGTATATATTCGATCAAGTCGAGTTGAGTTGAATAAAAAATTTCAAGGTGATAAGTCTTATTTTTGCCACTCAAATTTTATTTGAATTTTTTCAAATGGAGTCAAGTTTATAAAATTTAAATTGAGTTGTTTGAGTTTCTGTTTAAATTTAATTGTAGATATTTATAATGTTATAGTACTATTTGATTCCAATTTAAACAATTTTTTATAACCATATACACATATTATGGAGAGTTTCGAGACTACTTCAGTTTGAAAATCAATCTACTAATTACTGACAAATTTAAAGTTATATTTTATAACTCGACACAAATCGAAAAATTTTCGAGTCAAGTAAAATTCATGAAATTACAAACCAAATCAAATCAAGTCAAGTTTTTAATATCAAACAGAAAATTTTATTTTTTTTAGTTCTGTCAATTGTTGCTCACCCATAATTGAGATAATTTATAATATAATATCATGCCTGTCACACCCCATTTTTTAAATTAAAAATTATAACATTAATTTAGTTGATTTTAAAGACTAATTTGCAAGTTTCAGAAGCTTGCGGCTCAATTTTAAACTTGTAGAAAGTTCAGGAACTTAACCTTGAATTTTCTATTTTTCTGGTAAGTGGAAAAATAAAAAAAATGCAAGAATGTGGCTGAGGGGTTCCAAACCTTTATCCCCAAATATGACAAACTATCACTTTACCAACTAAGCTAGGCCATTGATAGTGTATAAAATAATAAAAATAACTTTTATTCGTATTTGACCTAGGTTATAACCCAAAAATCTATTCCCCGTCCCAATTTAGAAACCCAAAATCCCTAATTTTCTAACCCCAATTTCGTAGTTGTCTATCTCCCTCTAGGGGTGTAAACGAGCCGAGTCGAGTTCGAGTATTGCTGAGCTCGACTCGAACTCAAACCATTTATAGTAAGCTCGACTCCACTCATAACTCGCGAACTAAAAATTATCAAACTCGACTCGAACTCGAAATATAATATTAAAACTCGACTCGAACTCGAAAAGGCTCGAACTCAAAAAAAATTCAAAAGCTCAATTGAAGCTCAAGACTCGAACTCGATTGAAGCTCAATTTTAAACTCAATTCAAGCTCGATTTTAAGCTCGATTCAAGCTCGACGGGTTTTATTTTCATATGCTGAAACTCATCCCCTTTTATACACTCCACTTTACCCCTTATTCCCAAGAACCACCGACGTGGGATATACCTCACATGACCAACTGTGACTGTTTTCTCTGCCCCTTTACATCCAACATCATCTTCGGTATCCCCTCAACCACCACTATCTGTGATTCCTACTCTGCCCGAACAGTCCATTCTTCCTGCACAACCACCACAATCTTCAACTCCAGCGCAACAATCACTATCTGCACTTCCTTTTTCCATGGAAACTCAAGTCCAAGTTCCGACTACAAAACCACCAAAAGACTATCGCTCCAACGTCGACACTTCCCGTCCTTTTCGCACCAAAAGAAAAAAATATAAATAATTGTTTTAATGTTTCATGGCGAGCACTTTGGAGGTTGCATTGTCGTAACCAGTTCCGGCGGAAGCAAAGCAAACGCCGGTGGCGAAATCAGATATATTGTAAGCCGGATCCAAGTAAGCTGGGATGGCTAGCTTCAGTCAAAAAGCATTGGAGATGAAATCGGGAGATATTCGACCATTGCAGAAGCGTCCCGTTGGTTGACCGTTGTAAAAATCACGGCCATAAGACCGGAAATTGCTCTTCAAAAGCATGGAAATCACATTTTTGTTTCCTGAATCCACGAAGGAATCTCCGAACACTATGATGGCTGGGACTTTAGCTTTGGTTGCAGTCGAAAGTGATAAGGATACGAAGAGCCAAAGAAAAAATGGAGTAAGACTGTAACAAGACATTTCATCTTCACCGCAAGCAGAACTGAGAGGCTTAGGAAACTGGATTCCAAGGTTTAAAAGTTAACATTTTTCAAAGTTTAATCAAAAAAATATAAATAACTGTTTTAATGTTTCATGGCGAGGTTTGGTGGGGGGTTTTGATGGGAAATATTTAAAAGTTGTAGCTACTGTACCGCCTACTATTTGTAGTTATTTCCATAATACAACATGATAAAATGAGAAAAATAAACAAATCCAATGAGAAAAGTCCAAATATGGATATTTTAGCAACTACCCATGTTATCAGAATGGGGTTTATCTGCGATAAGTTTTCAATTGTCTCATCTAATTTATATTTCTAAATTTTTTAAAATATTAAGTACGTCCCCAATTTTTTTATCAATATCCAATCTATCACTGTATGTAATGCACTATTATCATGTGCACTTAACCCCTATAATATAATCGGATTAAAGGTTTAAGACTTAGGGTTTAAGGTTTAATGTTTAAGGCTTGAGATTTATAGTTTAGGGTTTAGGGGTGTAATTTAACATGTGCTTAATTAAATGGGCTTTTATTTTTTAGTACCCTATCATATAATTAGATTAAGGGTTTAGGGTTTAGGACTTATAGTTTAGGGTTTAGGGTTTATGGTTTATGGTTTATGAATTAAGGTTTATAATTTAAGGTTTATAGTTTAGGGTTTAGGTTTTAGGATTTAGGGTGTAATCTAACATGTGCTTAATTAAATGGGCTTTTATTTTTCTTTTAGTAATATACAATGTAACAATTGGACTTGGGTTATTTAATTAAAAAATTTAAATTTTGAGGGTAATTGTATTATAGAATTTTTAATATATTTTTAAAATTTTATAATTATCAATAATGTATTTTTAATAAATTTTTTATAATGTACTCTTAAAAAATCTAAAATTATAATATAACATTTTTTCGAGCTGCTCACGAGGTTTTCGAGTCGAATATCGAGTAGCTCGTTTCGGCTCATTAAGAACTCAAGTCGAGCTCGAGCTCGACTCGAGTCCATTCGATCCGAGTATTTATCAAGCCTTGATCGAGTCGATCTCGAGTAGCTCGCGATCTGTCTCATCTCATTTACAACCCTAATCCCCTCACCAATCCTCCACCGTCTGGCCACCGTGACGGTCACTGCCCCTATCAGAGTGATCGACGACATCAACGATCAAAACCCCTCCAACCCCTCACAGAGAATCGACATCGTTCGCCGTAAAAGCCACCGTGAAGAACCATTGGGAAAACCCAATCGTGTCATTGTTTATCGACGATTGTCGCCGGTCTAGCCACCCGCTCTTCTCACCACCACTCTCATTGGCTTACCTGGTGTCATGCGATCGAAACTCAAGAGTTTTGGTCACCCGTTGTAGCGCCATTGCCGTTTTCCATGGGTAAGACTTTCGACCACCTTTTTTAAAAATTTTTCATCGATATATTGGGTTGATTTTAAGTTAATTAGGTTAGAAATGCTAAGTTGCAGCTTATAGAGTGATCGCCCGTCCTCAACGGCCCCTGTAGCCACCGCACGCGCCGTTAGTGCGCGTAGGCTTCTCGGCTAGTCCAGGAGGCTTCTGAAACCGGTCCAGTCAGACCAAACCAGGTCGAGCTAAGCCAACTCGGTTGAGTCAACTCGACTGAGTCAAGCCATTAACTTTGACAAGAGTTGACTTTGACTAGAGTTGACTTTGACAAAAAGTTTACTTTTTCTGAAAAGTCATATTATATGTTTTTCGACGTATTGAGTCTGAATCCGAAGTCCGTTTTGTGAAATTCAAACTCAAAAGCCTCCAAATTGACCGTCAAACCTGAACATGCATATGTACTTAAGTATTTTATTTAAGAATAATTAAATTAAGATTAATGACTGATCTAAGATATTGTTATTTGAAGGTACACGAGACTCTCCCGACCATTCAACAGCTCGACCCAGCTCCTCTCGATCCGTTCGACCCCGTGAGCCAGTGATTACTCGTATGATCCGTAAACCTTAAGAATATTTGAATTAAAATATTATTATGATAATAACTCTGTTGCATTATGAATTAGGTTCGAGCACTGCTGCAGAGCGTGGCGAGACAGGTGCTCAATAGACTTGCTGACTGATCCTTTTTCTAGGTGTGTTCCCTATGTGATATATGATTGTTTTATCTGTTTTGAAATGTGATTTACCAAAATTATTGATTCACTAAATCTTTTAACAACTCGATGTTATGATTTACTGATTTACTGGTTGACTGATTATGAACTATGACTGTTTGATATATGTTATCTGGTTATTTGTTTTCATTGGAAAAATATGATTATGCTGATTTATGATTATAGAATTTACTACTTACTATTTGAACTGTTTTATTGATATATTATTTGGGTATAATATTATAGTATGGAGGTTCAACTCTGGTTAAGCTGGTAATATCTTACGGACCTAAGGTGACCCTTGGGTAGACTCCAAGACCCCAAAAACTTTCTTGATTAGGCTCTCAGGCCCCAAAATGACCTATAACCAATGGGAATAAGGAAAACCCTTATGGATACAGTTACGGGGAACTGCATTTTGGTGTACGGGAGGAGAGTATTTATGAGTTTTAAAATTCAAGCTTCACTGAATTTCACTATGACTTTAATGATATTTTAGTTAACTACTTTCTAATTATTTTACCAATTACGTTTTACTTGAACTATTGAAACAGACTCCTAGCTCACTTCCCAAACTTTTTCCCTTTCAGATATTTTTAGATAGGCACCCCAGACCTGGCACTTAGAGGATCGATACATTTCGTACAGTACATTTTGTTGTAATGTTTTTATCTTCCAAACTGCCTTCATTTTCGGTGATATGTGCCTTTATTTTAAAATACTTATTTTTACGATTTATACTGCTTTTGGCTACTGATGTTAGATTTACCGCGATACTGATTATGATATATTATATTTTACTCAATCACTTATAGTTTTATATTTACTTGTTTGGATTTTATCGTAACTATGTTTTTAAAGATGTTATTTATAATATGGATTTAAATTATTGAAAAACGTTTTGAAAAATTTTAATGTAATTCACTAGATATGGTCGTAACGCATAGGTCGGATCTAAAGAATTACAATACCTTTTATTTAATAGATAAAGATCTTTTATACGAACATAAGCAAAAGTTTATATATAACTAAATGATAAAAAAGAAAAGAGTTTAAATGGCATCCTTGCAGAAAGCCTTCTCACCACAACTTATCCATTGAAGAAGATGAGAAGGTTATTATATGATCAAATCCCATATCTTATCTTCCAACCAAAGCTCCAATTCCCAGTTCTAAGGCTTCCAGAGAATGGTGGTTTCAGCAATCATTGATGTCACAACGTAAGGATCCATGTTGGATGCTGGCCTTCTGTCTTCAAAGTAACCTATGTGTCACATTTCATGCATTTCCAACAATGTTAAAATATATGAAACTAATATATATATATATATATAGCTTAATGTTACTGTAATTGTGAATGTTAGATATGAATATGTTGCACACATCGAATATGATAAGATATTTTAACGGGTAAACTATGTAAATGGTCACTAATATTTGAATAAGTTTTTGTTTTCATCATTGATGTTTCAAAAGTCACAAATCGGTTACTAACACTATCGTTTGTTACAAATTGGTCACTCGACGTTAACAACAGTTAACAGGCATGACGAAAAACACAACTGGCGTGCTAACTACTTACATGGACTGGGTTGACCACCACATTGGAGACCCAAAAAGCCTTCAACGATCACCTTTTCTCCTTTAAAAAACCCAATCCTTAAACTTAATTTAAGGTTTTTCATTCTTATCTCTATTCTTTAAAAAAATTCTGAAAATTGTAAGAGGAGAAATCTTTTGAAGATGGAAGACTCCATTGATGTTTCGCTTTGCAACTGTGGATGCCCAGGTAAAGTTTTATTTTATTTTTTATTTTCTATCAAACCCAAAAGAAGCTTACCATAAAACATAGTGTTGTTCCCCCTTTTCCATAACCTCAATGTAAGTATGATGATTTATCTTTGCTTGTTTTTCTCACTATTTTTCTCTCATACAAATGGAAGAAGAAGAAATCATTTTTCTCACAACTTTTTTTCTCAGACGAATTGAAGAATGAGAAATGACTTTATGAAAGAAGAATAAATGAGATTATGGAAGAAGAATAAATGAGATTATGGAAGAATAATAAATGGGATTATGGAAGAAGAAGGAACGAGTTTATGGAATAAGAAGAAATGGGTTTATGAAGAAGAAGCAATGGGTTTATGGAAGAATAAAAAATGAGCTTATGAAAGAATAAGAAATGTGTTTATGGAAGAAGAAGAAGAATGATTCATAATAGTAAACTACACAGTTGGAGTAAGTTCTCATTTTCCCACTGAAGTTTAAAAAACATGACGGTTAACCCAGTCCATGTAAGCAATTAACACGCCAGATGTGTTTTCCGTCAAGCCTGTTAACGTCGAGTGACCAATTTATAATAAACTATAGCGTTAATGACCTATTTGTGACTTTTGAAACGTCAGTGGTAAAAACGAAAACTTACTCATTCTCATACATATATGTAGGATACGAGTATATGTAGCATACGAGTGTCGAATACAGTACTTCAAGAAAAATGAATAGTTGAAAACATCGAAGATACTACCTTTTCCTTCTTTCTCCGTGTCACGGCCAACTCGGATGGAGGCTCCCCTGTTTGCTACTCCCTGGAATTCGGGGATTGAAAGGAAAATTAGCCTTGCTAATGGGAAATGGTTATATATACATACGTGCAACATACATTACACATGGTGACTTACCCATGAGAATTTATGGATATCTGCAGTCTCGTGACGACCAGTGAGGCGTCTCTCATTACCCTCTCCATAGGCAGCAATGTGGTCCTTGTGGCGATATCCCAATTTCTCGATTGCCTTCTTTATCTCATGAATGCCGCCATCACTTCTCATAGACTTTGTGCTGAAGACCAAAATTTATTTCGACCAATTAACTCCTCATTCGTAGGGAAAAATACTTAAAAAAAGTGTAGTGGCTGTGGATTAACTATGTACCTGTAGTTGGTATGAGCACCAGCACCATTCCAGTCACCCTGATAATGGAAAAGAATGCAAATAGGAGAAAACTAGTTAAAAGGAATTTTTTTTAATCTAATGGGTACAAGTGTGAAAACAAACCGGGATAGGTTTCGGATCGAAAGAAAGAACAACGCCGGCGATTTCAGTGATTCGCTGTTGGAAAAAGAAAACAAAATTTATAATGGTAAACACCTAGAAAGGCTACTACATTGATTAAATACACTACTATATTGATTAAATACACTACTATACGGATCAGTCGCTGGTCAGACATACCTCGAGTATGTACCTAGCAACCCATACTTGATCCCCTGCTGATATTCCTGTGGCTGGACCAACTTGGAACTCCCACTGTTTAAGCCATAAGACCATTCATGGAAATTGAAGCTCAATCAAATATGAAGAAAAAAAAAGACCAGCTTAAGTTCTAAGTGTAAAACCCACCTGAGCAGGCATAACCTCGCCGTTGATTCCGCTAATATTAATCCCGGCATAAAGACACGCTTTGTAATGGGCATCCACGATGTCCCGGCCGAAGGACTTGTCGGCCCCTACTCCACAGTAGTAAGGACCCTGCATGGGTAGGGATGCAATACTTGATTAAGATGATCATATCTGAGAATCTAAATTAAAGGCTCAGAACACAGCATATTTTACTTTAGGGTAACACCAGATTAATCCGCACGACATGTACCTGTGGACCGGGAAACCCTCCAACAGGCCAGCCAAGAGGACACCGAACATCTTTTTGAAGGAGAGTGTACTCTTGTTCTATTCCAAACCTGTTTCCAATCAATCAAATATAAATATAGAAAGAAAAGGTAATGAAATAGAGTAACATTGACTTATAAAAACATTAGCAATGAGAAATAGTAAACAGTAGCGTATCTATGCAAAAAAAATTAGGATGATAATACATATATTAAAAATATAAAATTTTTGTATATGAAAGAATATAAATAAAATCTTTAAATGGGTATAATCAATCAAATTAATAACTAATCATAAATACATTTTTCAGAATAAGCATTCCCCTGAATTATATGCCATGCTCATCCGCCACTTATAGTAAACCACCAGATCATAGTCTTGACTCTCAACAAAATAAATTATTTATTTATTTTATTAAATAGCCTCAATGGTAGAAGAGAGTGTTGTTCTCCTTAAAGATTATAGATTAGAATAATTTTATATATAAAATTTATACATTATTAATAAGTAAAAAGTTATCAACATATACTACATTATCATAACTATATACTATTAAAAAAACAATTATTAATAAGTATACAGATGCAAGAGAACGAAAGATAAAGGATTAGATTACGTACAAAATATATCCTTATTTTAGTCGTAGTTTTGAATTAATGATTTAGTTTTAAATTATTTAAATATAGTATGCTACATGCAACCATTATATTCTTTTTATTTGAATACATATAAATATTCGGTAAGTTCCAAAAATGTGTATGTATAAATTTGGTAGGTAGGGTCAAGATAATGCTGACTTTTTGTAACGTGCTGATCTGCATTCCACCAAATCCGTTGTGACTGGCAAGTGATGGTCTCAGTAAGTGTTTTAAATGTTTCCGTATCAAGTTTAGTTTGATTTTCCAAAAGACAAAAGAGACTCCGTGGATTTGGAAATGGAATTTATAGAGAAGGAATCTAATAATTGCTTTTAGAAATAATTAATGAAAAGAGGCGAGAAGTTAATAAAGGAACTCACCAAGGTACCTCGGCAACAACGTCGGGGTGAGTAAAGATTTTAGCCGCATTGAATCTCTTGTTGGTAGGGATGGGATAGCCAGCTGGAGTGTAAGTATCACACATCACCTATATTTATCCATTTTTATAAATTAGATCAACATTTTTTTAGAGAGAAATAAATTTAATGCATTTAAAATATTGTGGTAAGAAATTTTATTGATGCTAAGTTCAATTTTTTTATATATACATAAAAGTTCAAGTAGGAAAAACTCCTCAGTCTAAGGTCAAGACATACTTAAGATTTTATTGGATTTATATAAGAATTTATAGATTAACCACCAAGAGTGATAGTAGTAGGATTCAAACTTAATCATTGAAGCTTAAATTCATAAATCTCAATTACTTATGTCATCACTCGTTTGTGATGCCAAGTTTAATTTGATTTAATTATTACTCCATTATTTTGTTCACTAAAATGACAATTTCAGGTCATCCAAATATTTACTAAAAGAAATGGACTAAAGCATAGATCAGCTAGAATCACGAGAACCATGGAATTTGAAGGCAAAAGGTCAAGAAATTGACGTTAATATCAATATTTATAAAAAGTCGAGGCTGATATTAATTAAAGCATAGATCACCGAGAATCACGAGACAGAGAGAATTAATTACCAAGATATTGTTTCCTCTTCTGAATGGATCCTTGAATATCGCTTGAGGGCTAAGCGTTTCAGTCAAAATCACAAAATAACATAACGACCATTATTATCGTAGTTAAATACAATCACTGAATCTGAACTTTGATCTAACGAAAAAGCCAACAAAAACATATAAAAATACCGTAAAATAACTTCACTATCATCTCCGGGTGCCTGGTTCGTACTGGAACCGTCATAATTCCAGAGCGGGAGTTCCGAATGATCCGTCACCGGTCCAGGCATAGTCTGCAGAATTTATATACAGTAAAATCAATACAGAGATTCAACAAAATAGAGAATTTGAACTTTGAACACGTAAGAACCGCACCCTTGCTTTGCTCCTTAAATCCATTCCCGATCCACCGATCCTGAAACAGAATTTAAAAAACATTTTAAGAAAAAAAAAACGTACTAGTAATCAAACTTAGATTGAAAGCGAAGGAACTAGGAAAAGATTCGACAACCATATATATTCAGCTATGATCTTGTTGGTGGTGTCGGTGAGATTGAGGTTGATGAGATCATTGAGGATTGACATGGCTACTGCTTCAAGAGGAAAAGAGGAGGAGGAGTGTGAAATAGGGGGGTATACGTTTGGTTGGTAGCATTAAATAGAGAAGATGGAAAGTTCTAAGAAAATTAATGTTTATTAGGTAATAATGAAAATAAGATACAGTTACACTTTTTCTTGGCAAACGGAATCTTCAAGGCAAAAATGAGAGAATGAAGGGTGATTGACAGTTGTGCGAGACTGCCACCAATGCCTCGCCATTACCCACCTTTCTCCCTTGTTATTTCCAAAATTGTTGGAAAACATTTAAATGCTCAAGAAAAAAAAATGGTCATTATTTAATTTCGGTCCCTCTATTCTGATTAAATTAGTAATTTAGTTTAATTTCGACCCCTCTACTATGTGTTCATAATATTTTTTAATTATCGACAACACCCACACACCTACATACATAATTATTTGAATCTAAAACTCTAAAGAAAACATCACTCCTTTCACACAATTGAAATTGCTCAACGAGTTAGCTTTTACTTTATAAGTTAAATATCATTGTTATATTGAGTATTTATTTAGTATCTAATATATTATAGGTTGAACTTTTTTTAAAATAATCTAAAATGATTTATAAGGTAATATATATGTTCAAAAATTTTTATAACCATAGACAACGCTTGAACTCAGAATTTCTAGAAATAACAATATTTTATTTAAATATTAAAATCACTTGGTGGTTTGATCGGATATGATGCATGTTAAACAAAAGGAAATAAAATGTTTGCCGAGTCGCAACCTGTTTCACAATGCATCGTAATAGGTAATCTTTTTAACCAATGCTCGTACGTAGAGACATTGCAATCTTCGTTTTGCATTGTTGGTTTGGGTGTTTTGTTCAAGGTTTATATATATTGAAAAAGAATAAGAAAACCAAGTTTAGGCATTGAAGTCATCGTCAATTTGTTATTGTAGTCATCACGCACAAATATTATCTCTATTCTGTTAGTGCAACATTCCACATCTTATGTCAAATCAATCCCCGGCTTAATTATATATTCGGTTTGCAAGTTCTTTATTCATACTCTTACACCGAATAAATTAACCCAACGAAATTTATACAATATAAATCAACACATTCCCATTTTGCGATTATTTCGTTTCTTAAATACCGTATAATAAAATATAAAATTAATAAAATATTTGTACATCTATGATAATTCATTTGAATAATTTTTTTTCAATTCTTTTTTACATAAAATATTTTTTTCATCCGTATAATAAGTATGCCATAATATAATATATTTTAAAACGTATGCCATAATATAATATATTTTAAAAGTGTTTATTTCTTCACTAATTGTATTGTCTATTGAACTTGTAAAATTTCTTTAAGGCTGATTTTGGACTATTATAAGTCGAGTTTTTTCTATAATTTCAATTTTTATTATATTTAAAAAGTAAGCAACTAAATTAGTATGCTCCTACTGATACTAAGGTGGTGTTTGTTTTTACTGTATAAGGTCTGCAAAGCTCTTATGTCTGCGCCGCGCAGACCACGCGCAGACATTGTGCTTCGCAGACCGTTTGTTTTTTAGAAGATAAAAACTCTTCTAACGTCTGCGCGTGATCTGCGCGGCGCAAACCAGAACTTATGTCTGCATACGTCTTCTAACATCTTCAAAGAGGTTTTATATTTAATTTTATCTTATATTTGATTTTAATTTTAATATTAATTTTTAAATAAATTAAATATTAATTTTTAATATTATATTATAGATATTAATTTTAATATTATTTTTTTAAATTTATTTTATATCATATAAATTATTTTATATATTATTAAAATTTTATATTTATTTTAATTATTTTGATTTAAGTTTAAAAATAATATTTTTTTGGATTTGTTATTTTTAAATTATATTTAAAATTTTTAATACAAAATGTAAGTATTTAAACCACATTGCTTAGGTGGTGTTTGTATAAAAATTTAAAAAATTAAGATTTACAAAATATGAAATCATATAATTTATAAAAAGTATTTTCTAAAAATATCATATAATTATAAAAATAAATTATGAATATATATTTAAAAAAATTAAAAGTATTACATAATTGCATATTTAAAAAATCATATAATTTAATGATCATTTATAAATTTTATTGTATAAAACTTATAAAACTAATAATGCATGTGATTATGTGAGATTTATAATAGAATTAATAAGGTGATGTTTGTTTTTCTAAAAAAATTATTATTGTAGTTGTATGAATTATTTAAATTCCAATATTGTAAAACTAAAATTATATTGCAAAACTCTTTTAAATTTAAAAAATCAGTTTATTTTATATTTCAGTTTATTTTAGCAGTTTGCAGATGTTAAAAAACAAACAACTTTCTTCTTGCAGACTGCAGACTTTTGGTCCACCTCTTCTGCTGCAGATGTCTGCAGATGTGGTCCACAGACTACAGACATTTTACCTCTTCAAAAACAAACACCACCTAAATATCTACATCCCAAATTCTAATCAATCAAAATTAGTTATAGATGTTCAAAATGTGGACTTCAACTTAAAATCACAAGCATAAAATCACGTATAGTCATATACCATCTTTAATAAAAGATTGTTTACCGAATCAGTATTATGTAGCGAAACATCCTATCAGATAATTTGATTCGTTCACCACTCTTTTATAATTTCATAAAACGTCTCGTTTGACATTGACAATTTTTTTTGTAAATATTACTAGATTCATTTGATGTTATTTCAACATTAAAAATCTAAATTCATCAAAATAAAGTTAAATTTTTCTCATAGCTTGTGAGAAGACATTATTTTTTCGTCTCCAATTCGCAACAAGATATTATTATCAAACAAACTTCTAACTTCTTTGAACACCTGCAAAAAAGCAAAAACATTACTAGGGACTTTAAAATCAGTTGCCCAACATTCCTCTAAATCTTTCATTAAACAGATTTCAACAGTTAAGAGTTGATTACCTTCGTTTGACTTTGAGGTTAAATCATCTTTGAATTCGGACTCGCGGTGTCCATTAATCTTATTACAAAAGAAGCATTTAAACTATCGTGCTTGAATTTCTTCGCCGCCTTCTTATTTACTTTAGGTGAAAACGAAGTCGAATCAACAGCCCCGATAACCCGGTCCGTACTAACACCATCGTAGGTCCAGAGCGGGACTTCAGAAAGATCCATCCCTCCTCTAGACGAAGTCTGCAGAATTTACATACGATAAAATCAATAGTTTATTTTTTTCTTTGAGAGAAAATATTCAACAAAAGAGAGAATTCAAGTGAGAAATTTAAATAACAGTCCATTATTAGAATAACGGCTGTGTTATATAAAAGAACTGCACCCTTGATTTGCTCCTCAATTCCATTCCCAGTCCACCGACCCTGAAAAATAAGAAGTTATCAAAAGACAATTAGTTTAGAGATTTTTCTGCATATACAAGGACTCGAACTCAAAACCTTATTTAAAAATATATCAAGTTGTTTACCACAAGAATTAACCACTGTTAGTAGAACATAAATGTCTATTAGATAATAACAATAAAAGTAAATAAAGATACTGGTTCATGGCAACAGAATCTTCAAGACTAAAGGCAATTTCTTCCTCTCCAATTAAACTATGATCATTTAAGTATTATTTCTTTTTATTATGATCATTGATCTTTTGATTTATTAATTATAATATTTATCTATTTAAATATTATCAATTAAATCATCAACCGTTAATATTTAACAAAATAATAGACATGACAATTAAAAAATTGATATAATTACATATTTGGTCAACAATATTTACATTTTCTATTAATTTAATTATAATTTTAATTAATAAATTTAATATCTATTAAATGATTACACTTGTTAGTACTTGATTGGATAATCTTTTAATTTTCATTTATTTAATACATATTACTTTTTATTTTTATATTTGATTGAAAAAAGGAAAAATTGAAAGAAATATATTTTTCTTATTGTTCAATTTAATAAAATTTGAAATTAAAATGAAAGAATATAATATTTTTGAGAAAAATATAATTCTAAATTAAATTATATTTCCACATTTTTCTTATTTTCTTCTAAATTAAAATAATTGATTTTTGTATAAAAAGATAAAAAAAAAAGAGAAGAAGTAATCATCTTACTTATTTTTATTTCCTCTCATGCGCATTCCAAATTCATTTTCTTTCTATTTTTCACATCCTCATTCCATAGATAATATTTATTTAAAAATAATTTTTTAATTTTTTAATATTAAATACTCACATCTTTAATATTTATAATAAATAAAATTAAAATTTTAATAAATAACAATAATTCATTTATTATAAATCCACTACTTAATTTGCATACATGCAAAAATCCCAAACCCCACAACCGATCTCCTTTGGCGCGTTGGTAATTCCGACGCGCGTAACTGAAACAAAGAATAATACCCGCTGCTTCCATAAAGCCATAAACCCCCAAAAAATATATATAAATTAAAAAAAAGGTTTTATACTTTTTCAGAGCCTGCTGTTTTTTCTCTAACAAATCTAGAAATCAAAATAAAACGATCTAAATTTCCGTTTTTACAATCTCTTTCTTTTAACAATGGGAAAATCAAGCAAGAAATCAACCCCCAAAGTAGGTCTCTTCTTTCATCTCTTTAATCATTTCTCCTGTTGATTTCGTCCATTTTTTTAAATTTTAGTTTTGGTTTGATTTTGTGTTTTTATTTTCTCTTTAATAGGTTGAAGTAGCACCTGCTGCAGCTGCTCCTAAGTCTGGGAAGAAAGGTATTTATTTATTTTTCGTTTTTCGTTTTGATTTTGATTTTTTTTGTATATGTGATAAATGATCAAGATTTTCTGATTGATTTTCGTGCACCGGAAGCTGTTTGTTTACGATTTTATATTTTTATGATGATTATATAGGCAAGAGAGAAGCTAAAGGAACACTTGAAAAACAAGTGGCTGTGAAAAAGCAGAAGAAGAGCGATGGCGTCGAACAAGCTGTTGTAAAGAAGAAGGTTGAAGCAAAGACCCAAAAGAAGAAGACAGACGAAACTATTAGTTCGTCCGATGATACTTCTGATTACGAGGATGTATGCCCGGGACGACTCTCCCGTTTACTTATGCTATTACATTTGTTAGCGTTGTTATTGATTATGCTGATTGTTCTCTTTTCATATCATGGTCTGTTCTTTGTCGGTTCCTTACATTATTATGTTTCCGCTTTAACTTATTTATATGCTTTTTTGACAACTGGTTCTTAATCTCATACTTTTATTAGTAGCACGTTCATAGGATTATAAAATGAAGTGCATGAAAACATATCCGCATCTGCTTTGTTATTTAATTTCACTTTCTTTTCTGGTTCGGAAACCTGTGCCTCCGAAAAAGCAGCCAGCTATTGCCAAAAACGGCTCTGTACCTGCAAAGAAAGTAAAAAAAGCTAGCAGTTCGGGTGCTTCTGAGTCTAGTAGCGAGGAAGATTCATCCTCTGATGAAGTAAGTATTATGCTCATGCTTGTAACATTATCATGTTTGCACATATTCTTTTGTATGATTGATTTTAATGTTCAATTTTTCCCTCTTAATTCCAGGAAGCTCCAGCTCAGAACAAAAAAGCTGTAGTTGCTAAAAATTCTGCTAAGACAGTGAAAGCTGATAGCGGTTCTGAGTCTAGTAGTGAGAAAGATTCATCCTCCGACGAAGTGAGTATTCTGCTCATGCTTATAAATTTAGCATGATTGGACATATTCTTTTGTATGATTATTACTTCAATTTTTTGTTTTATTTCAGGAAGCTCCTGCTCCAAATAAAAAACCCACAGTTGCCAAAAATGTCTCTGTTCTTGCTGCTAAGACTGTTAAAGCTGATAAAAGTTCCGAGTCTAGTAGTGAGGAAGATTCATCCTCCGACGAAGTGAGCATTATGCTCATGCTTATAGTACTAGCATGATTAGAAATACTCTTGTATGATTGTTAATGATCAAGTTTTTGTTTATTACCGGAACCTACTGCACAGAATAAAAAACCAGTAGTTGCAAAAAGTGTCTCTGTTCCAGATGCTAAGACAGTGAAAGCTGATAAAAGTTCCGAGTCTAGTAGTGAGGAAGATTCATCCTCTGATGAAGTGAGCATTATTCTCATGCTTATAGTACTAGCATGTTTAGAAATACTCTTGTATGATTGTTAATGATCAAGTTTTTGTTTATTACAGGAACCTACTGCCCAGAATAAAAAACCTGTAGTTGCAAAAAGTGTCTCTGTTCCAGCTGCTAAGACAGTGAAAGCTGATAGCGGTTCTGATTCTAGTAGTGAGGATGACTCATCCTCCGACGAAGTGAGTATTATCCTATGGTTATAGTATTAGCATGGTGGGAAATATTCTTTTGTATCATTATTAGTGTTCAAGTTTTTGTTTATTCCAGGAAGCTCCTGCTCAGAATAAAAAACCTGTAGTTGCCAAAAATGACTCTACTTTAGTTGCTAAGACAGTGAAAGCTGATGATGATTCCAAGTCTAGTAGTGAGGAAGGGTCATCCTCCGAAGAAGTGAGTAATATGCTCATGCTCGTAACATTTGCATGGTTGGACATATCTGTTACATTTCATGCTTATTTTTTTATATAAAAAAATCCAGGAAGCCCCTTCTCAGAATAAAAAACCTGTAGCTAAACATAGCTCTGTTCCAGCTACTAAGCCGGTAAAAGCTGAAAGCAGTTCAGAATCTTCTGATGATGATTCCAGTGAGGATGATGTGAGTATTGAGGCTAATGCTTGATAGAACACAAGAATTTCTATTCAAGGTCTTGATTTTTTTGTCTTTGTTGAATTTTGGTTTAGGAACATGCTGCAAAAACAAAGGTCGCCACAACTGTTAAAAATGACCCTGCAGCTGTTAAGAAAGGCAAGCCCTCCAGCAGTTCAGATTCTTCAGATGAAAATGAAGTAAGTTCTTTATTGTTGAATGATCGTTGCTTTTTAATTTGATTGGGTAACTATTTGTATTATAATTTGTTAACGTGAGCTTTTTCCTTTTGCATATACAGGAAAAATCAAAACCAGCCTCTAAGAAAGGACCTACTACTGTTGCAATAAAAGTGCCGAGTGAAAGTTCAGAAAGTGATAGCTCGTCGGATGAAGAGGATGTGAGTATTGTGTTGCCTGCGATGTTACAATAAATGAATATTTGGAATATCTTGCAAAGTTTTCTAGCCATGCAAACAGGTGTCTTGGAATTATGTTAAATTTTGGTGTTATAGTAGACTTTGATGTCCTTATGAAACCTACCTTTTAATTGTGCTTGAATTATATTTTGTTATTTTGTAATTTCACTACTACTACTTGTATAGGGACCTCCTCTCAAGGCTACTTTACCAGCTTCTTCTGCGAAGAATGTACCCTCACTGATTGCAAAGGATAAAACTGCATCCAGTGATAGCAGCTCTGAGGAGGACTCTGATGAAGAGGTGTGATGTCTCATTCATGAAGTTCCCTTTCCCATGCTTTATTTTATTTTGTGGGGTTTCTACAGCCTCTTTTATTCATTCTGTTGCCTGCAATAGGATGCAAAGAAAGCAACTTCTGTGAAGAAAGCTTCTGCTCCCACCCTTAAGAAAATTGAGGATTCTAGTACTAGCTCCTCCGATGATAGTGATTCTGAGGAAGAAGTGGTGTGTCCTTTAACTTATGAATTTGTTAGTATATATATCAGTTTCAGTTCGGTCATGGTTCTTTACTTTTTGTTCTTATTGTTAATGAATAAATATTAGCAGAAAGTTGAAGCAAAGGATGGCAAGAAACCTGTTACTGTGAAAACTTTAAAGAAAGAAGATTCGTCTGAAAGCTCCGAAGATACCGATTCCTCCGAGGAAGAGGTATTGGTAATCCTGTTGTATTTAGTGTGGTGGCTTGTTCTTTTCTAATCAGATTCTGAGCACGAGGAATAAACAATTTTTATCTGAGGAGGCAGCATTTCCTATTAGTGTGTTTGTGTTACATTTCGTGCTAATTTGGCTGTGCATTAATATTATACTGCAGGCTCCTACAAACAAAGCTCCTGTTGCTGCAAAAAGGCCACTCCCCACAGCTGGGACAAAAAAATCAAAAGAGGTTGCTTCTTCTTACAGTTTTTGCCTGTAGTTGCTCTCCTGAATTCGTTCAATTTCTGATATTACGTATACCTGCTCGTATATGTTTTTTTCCCTTGATGAATTTTTAACTTTATTTGATGGGCTTGTATTTGTATTGTTGTGTGCCTTAATGAGACATCTGTTTTGGTATTTGCTAAATATTGATAATGGAGGACAATGCTCCGATGCTTTCCTTGAATCTTGGGTTGATCCTTTTTATTTAGTCATAAGTTTGTCAGTTATGATTTCCTGAGATTAGCTCAGCAACTCTAATTTATCGAATGGTTTAATTGATTCATGGATTTAAATATGTAAACATCGCTTTGGAATCTTCCAACATCGGTAGAACTGTGACCAAAACATGATCATGCTTCTTACTTACTAACCCTCCTCCTCACATTGCAGGTAAGCAATGATAGCGAAGATGATAGCTCTGATGAAAGTGAGGATGAACCACCTGCGGCCAAAAAGGTCAAATTTTCTTGATAATCTATGTTCCACTAGATGTTTCTTTTATCATTGATATACTATCGATTTCCTGAATTGTCTAATTCTGTAAACTGCAGTCTAAGGTTTCTTCAGATAGTGGTAAGGATGCCAAGGTTGTTAAAAAAGTAAACAGTAGTGAAGACAAGGAATCTGAAGAATCATCCGATGATGAGGAGAAAAGTGATGAAGAAGAAACTCCAAAGAAAAAGGTTGGAACATTGGAATATGCTTTTTCTTTATACTTTTGGAAGGTTGTGATGATTGCCTAGTGAAATGTTGTACGTTTATATTGGGATCAGGACACAGATGTAGAAATGGTGGATGCCACAACACCACAGAAAATTACCAAGCAACAGGATTTAAAGTCCGGGAAGAAAGCTGTAAGTGCCAATTTCATTCCAGTTTCTTCCAAATCTAATCCCGATTGCTTCTTTGCCTCATTTTGTCAATCAGGTGGAAATCTAATGAGATTTTTTTTCAGCTCCAAACCCCCACGACTCCTCAAGTTCAATCCACAGGTTCAAAGACACTGTTTGTTGGGAACTTACCTTTTCAAGTAGAACAAGATGATATGTACGTTTGGGTTATCCTGTCCTTTAATTGAATTTTTTGTTTTATTTCATCTGATCATTGTTATCCTGCAGAAAGAATTTTTTTAAAGATGCTGGTGAGGTTGTAGATGTACGTCTATCCACTGATTTTGAAGGGAGTTTTAAGGGGTATGGACATGTTGAATTCGCTACTGCAGAGGGTGCACAGAAGGTAAATTTCTGTCTGGGTCTTGGATTTGCACATTGATGTCTTATCTATAAACTAAACTAATATTTTCTGCAACTAATCAACTAAGTCTTTGTGTTAACTGTTTGTATCAAAATAGATTTGTATATATTTATTAGTATAATGTCTTTAATAAACTACCAATTTCAATTATGAAAAATAAACTGCTGAAATTTAGTATTGAAATCTGTTAGTCTTGTATTCATTCTATAAAATGTTTTATGCCAAGGAAAGTTGAATACCAAATATATTTGTAAAATTTGTATGATTTTCTTTAATTGTATGTCCAGTAAATGATTATTCAAATTAAAATATTCTGTGAATTGTTTTCATGAAATATGAAACCGAACCTGTTTAAAAACTTTTAACACATTAAAAAATAGTCTTGACGTGAATTGAAAATGTATTTCTCTCATACTTCTTTTCTTTTATGTTAATTGTAAATCTATATTGGCTAACATCATCTTGCATTGTAGGCTCTAGAGTTGAATGGTGAATATTTAATGAATCGCTCTCTTAGACTTGATTTGGCCCGTGAAAGGGGTGCGTTTACACCACATAGCAGGTATTTTTTTCAATATCTCCATATGTGAATCCATATTTAAATTATGAAAGCCCCCATCTTGACATTGCCATGTATTGCATCGATTTATTCAAACTTCTTCTGGCACTGCCCATTGCAGCGATCGGAACAACTCGTTCCATAAAGGTGGAAGAGGTCAGGCTCAGACAATATATGTTAGAGGATTTGATCAATCTCTTGGCCAGGATGAGGTGAGTGGTTTGTTTTAAATAACTAGCTTTTGTTTCCCTCTATTCATCCTCCACTGTGTTTTAAATTTGTATTTATTTATATTATCTTCATTGTCCAATACATTCACAGGCTAAGAAATACTTGGAGGAGCACTTTGGTTCTTGTGGAGAGATTTCTAGGGTGGCAATACCTGTGGATTGGGAATCCGGTGCCGTGAGAGGGTTTGTTTCTATTGTTGCTACGAAAATTCCCTATACTGTTTTTACTTCGTTGTCCTCTTCTTTAGTGATACACAATTATAAATGAGATGAATCCTTCGAAGACTGTAGATAAGAAGCTTAAACCTGGTGCTTTTAGCATAATGCCGGAGAAATAGTCAAGTAGAACGTAGTCAATTACTAGTTGTAGAGCATATCTGATAATATACAATGAATTGCAGTTATGCTTATTTGGATTTCACCGATGGTGATAGTTTCAACAAAGCCCTAGAACTTGATGGATCTGTACTTGATAAGCATTCCTTGTCTGTGGAGGAGGCAAAGCCAAGAGGTGAATTCCGTGATGGTCCGGGAAGCGGCAGAGGTGGTGGTAGGAGTGGAGGAAGGGATGGTGGCGGTGGCCGTGGTGGATGGAGTGGGGGAAGAGATGGTGGTGGCAGGAGTGGTGGATGGAGTGGGGGAAGAGATGGTGGTGGGCGTGGTGGTAGACGTGGGGGTGGTCGATTTGGTGCTGGTGCTGGCAGAGGACGTGGAACACCTAATAAACCAAACCTTGCTGCTGCTGGCACAGGTATGTATAGTTGCCACTTGTTTTGCTCAAGGTTAATACAGCAGGAGGTTTTGGTTAAAAGGAGAAATTGGGATATCATCTCATGGGTTTAAGTTTATTTCTTATGCTGCAGGGAAGAAGACTACTTTCACAGATGACGATTAATGAATTGAGCACTCACCCCATTTGTCCCCTGGTTGCTTATGTTAGAGTAGTAATTGCTTTTGTGATGGATTGTTATTATTATTATTATTATTATTATTATTATTATTATTATTATTAGGCTTGAGGTTATAAAAACTTCTCGAACTATTTTAAAAGAATTAATTAAATTCCTATTTTTTTTTACATTCAAATGAATTTCTTTCAAATTAACACGTCCAATCCTTTGTTACAAGATTCAGTTGAAAATAATGAAAAATAAATCGAACACTTATTTTTATTTATATATACAAAAAGTTCTAATGTATATTATTTTATTATTAGGATAAACTATTTAAATTGTCACTTTTATGACTAACGATTTGGTCACCTAAATGTTAATTCATAGGTATCAATTATCTCATTTGTAATTTTTGGCTTGTTTATTAAAAACCCCTTAAATTGTCATAACAACCTATTTAAAACCCTTGTTTTTTTTACCTTAATAGCTTTTTGATTATTTTTTAAATTTTATTTTGAAATATATTACAAATACATTAGCTCTAAAAGATATATATATATATATATATATATATGTTTAATCATGCTTTTAACTTAATAAACTTTTAAAATAAAAATATGTGTATATAATTAAAGGTCATTAGAATGATTTAAACGATTTTATTGACTACGAGTGATAATTAAATAATATTACTTTTTAATAGAGAAGAAAATATATTAAGAAAAGAATTTAGGAGATCAAATTATAAGAAGATCAATGGATAAGGAAGCATTTAAGGACGAAGCAGGTTGACTTTGTTAGTTAGTATTATTTATTTTATTTTATTCTTCAATACTCCCATTTTTTATTTCCTGCGTATGCAATGTATATCAACATTGTTTTGAAGTGATAAAAGCAGGAAAAAAATTAAAATAAAAATATGAGTCAATTATATTGTTTCAAATATCAATATTTTTTTCCTCATGCTACAAAATCGAGTGACAGATAAGCAAAGGAAAAAAAAGAGTCAATTATTTGTTATTATGTGATCTTTTCATCTTTTGTCATTACATGGATCAATAATTTTATTTTTTTATTGCGGTAAAAAAATGAAGTATAAAGGAAGAAAAAAAATAAAAAAAATAAATGGAAAATTATCGATACCAGAGCCGGTTGAATGTCAATTACTCTTAAACTATCATTAATAATGTTATTAATCCAAGTAAAGTTTATGCAAGTGTGTGGATTATTGAGTAATTTAATAGGCAATTTGTATCTCATCATTACATTGCTGGACTATAAATTTCTGATCCAAGTTATCATCGTTTTGTTGATGATTTGCAAAAATTTTCATTCCCTTAGTGTTAAATACTTAAATTTTATTATATTGTAATAAAATTTTTATTTTTATGAGGTTATTTCATGCAAATTCAATATATGGAACTATTTGGTTTTTGATACTGTTCAACATTTTTTTAAAAGAAGAAATTGTTAATTTTTGATGAATCATCATAACAATATTAAAAAAACATTTATGTACAAATAAGCAAAGAGTTTTTATAAAGAAAGAATAAGAATTATAAAACTAAATTTAGCATGTCATGACATTAAAATATAATATTATATTAAGGTTTAGATTGTTTATAAAGAGAGAAATACAAAATAACATTAAAAGTATTTTTATATTCACCACTATAAATTGTTATAAAATATAAAATTGTATTCTTATTTAGCTTCCCCAATAGCCCCATCATACTTCTTCTTCGTTCTTCCTTATATATGATTGTTTGTTAAGATTCTTGGGGCCAGTATGCATCTCTTTTTAGGTATGACAAAGTAATAGGAAATGCATGCTAAATGGTAACTATTATATCATGTGGTTTTAGAGATAAAAGTGAAAATTGTTATTTTTTTAGGTCAATAGTTTAAACATATATAATTATGTACATTGTCGATTTATTAATAAAATTTTAAATAGATAATATTTTGTAATCATCCTAAACTATTCAAAAATATTAGTAAGACGTGATTTTGAATATTTGGGATCAATGACTAAGTTATTTCTTATAATTAATTATATTTTGTCCCATTTAATTGAAATCCTGAGTCGATATCCATTGCTATCTCTAGTTGAGTTGGTTCATTATCATATTATTGCAGTCTACCAAATTTAATTTTTTAAGTTATTCTAAGTACATTCCAACTTCCAATATATTAAAAAAGAAAACGTTGCCTTAGCACCCCTAATCAACATAAATTAAGTCAGAAGTTGTGTGCAAATATTATTATAGTCAATTCTTTATTAAAGCAACTAATAAAAGCCTATCATATTCGTACATAACTATCATATTTATTGAATCCTTCACTCTCAACTTGATATTCATACTTTTCTATCCTATATCGATAATTTAAAACTTTTTTGAACAATAAATGAAACATAACTATCATTATAAAGTTATATTAAACATTATTAAATACGCTACTAAATATCATTTTCTTCACAAAATCGAGATAGAAAATAAATAAAACTTTGTTTTGTGCATAACAAGGTTTAATTTTTGTTCACATTCCCTATATTCTTTGAATATTTGAAATTTAATAATATTTTTTAATTTCAAGGTTTTTAATTTATGGTTGATAATATTTAAAAATTGAAATATATATATAATCGTGTAACTATAATTTATACTACTAATAATGCATAGAGAACTAAGATATAATTATTATTTTTCAATTAAAACACGTCTAAAATTTAGAATTACTAGAGTAACAATTATATTTTCATGTATTTTCACAATAGCGTCCAAACAACGCTTAAGTGATGCGATCCTTAGAATAAAAGTAAGGAGAATAAATTTCAAATATGTGAAGTTTAGATGGAGTGGATGTAAAATTAGACCAGAAAGAAGAAAAAAAAGATAAAGCGACAGGGGCGAGTGAGGTGACCAACGCGTATACGCCACCCGTTTGTCGTTTCTGAAACAAATACACGTTGTTGTTTATAATTTTATGCATATTGTTTCTCTATTTTGGGTCAAATGGTTATAACTTCACATTAATTCGTTTTTGTTATATTGCTATTATTTTAATATATATTTTTGTTAATTTCAATATATAGTAAAATCTCTATAAACTAAAACTTAATAAATTAATAATATTTTTGAAATAATAATTTTTCTCGATCTCGATTTGAGTCCAAAGTTTAAATTAATAATTTCGATAAATTAATAAGATAACAAATTTTCGAAAGTCTCTTATATAAATTTATGGTTTATTAAATATTATAAATTAATAAATCTATAAAATTTCAAATATAATTAGGACAACTTAATAAAATATAATTTTAGTATTGTTTATTTCTTTTTAAATATTAAATTTAGTTGTATTTCATCTTTAACTTTTCTTATTCATCTAAAAATTTCGATGTTACGTTCTTATATTGTAATAAAAAATTATGAATAGTTGTTGCCGCTACGAGTGTTTCTTTCCGTGTAATTGGGCATAAAGATATTATATTATCTTCAGTTTTGGTTGCAAAGCCAGTCAATAAATTCATGTTATGAAACATAATATAGGTCCGTTGAATAAAAAATATATTTAAATTAATAAATTATTAATTAATTAATATTTTTAAAATTAGTAAAATTACGTGATCCGACATTATTAATTTATAGAGGTTTTTGTTGAGAATAATAAAAATTTAGTTTACCTTCGCTTCCCTTTCTCTTTAAAGTTTTATTTTTCATCTTTTTCATGGAAACAGAGTAGAAGTTCTATCATCATTTTCCCGGAAATACTGGAAAGTTACTCCAGATTTTCTAAAATTTTGACTCAGCCAATAGAGCAAGAATCGGAGGTCAAACACAGGAGATTGATAAGATTAGGGTAAACAAATAGTTTTCCTTTTTTGTAAACGAAGGAATATTCATATGGAAAGGGAGAGGCGGGATAGCAACATTACTAATGGACACTACAGTTACAATACGAACGGGCATTGTAGTCGGTTTTGCAACGATTATTGTGTATCAGACGGAGATAATATTCCTTCCGGCGGTTACATTGAACATTCTGTTTCCCGGTTCGATACTCTCGCCGGCGTCGCCATCAAGTACGGCGTCGAGGTAACTACATTTTATCATTTCATTTCAAAAATTGGGAAATTTGATAAATGGTAACCTAGGAATTAAATCTAAATATAGTATTGTCATCTATAATATGTGGAGTTGGTGACAAATTGTTGGTATGGCTGTGAAAATAATCAGGTAGCTGACATAAAAAAGATGAATGGACTGGTTACAGATACTCAAATGTTTGCTCTTAAGACACTCCAGATCCCTTTACCCGGGCGGCATCCACCGTCGCCTTGCTTCTCCAATGAATCCCCGACTTCAGGGTATTATGTCTTCTTCTTCTTCTTCTTCGTAATACTAATTGTTTTGTTTTTCTTTCAACTCCTGAGCTTTGCCTTTTTAGTACTTGTAAAATTACTCTCCCAATGTTAATTACATCATAGTAATTGTTTTTCAGAATATAGCCTCCTCTTTAATCCAACTGCACTTCTGCAGCTTTGCTTCATAGAAAGGATAGAAAGGTTTAAGATGAAAATTATTAATCCAATGGTTTATCTATAAATCAGGGAGTTGGCAACTTCAGTCTAATTTTACCTCCTGGAATTTTATAGTTTTGCACCAGTTAACTTTCTGATATAACTTCCCAAGATTGCACATCCTAACATAAAATTATGTCTTCGTCTCTACTAACCTCTCCAACGGATTAATAATTCTCATCCGAACAATGGATTGTTGGACTCTTTAATTGGTTGCTAGATGTTAATATTTTTTTTCTGGGACACTGCTAAAAATAGTGATTAATCATTTTGATAATAGATGTTTCAGTGGGGTTGTTTAGTTAGACTCTCCATTAGTTGCTAGATGTGAAAATTATTTTCTAGGGACGTTGCTGCAGATGGTGAAACTCCTCTAGATTTGAAACCCTGGGGCAAGCTAAGAAATATTATCTGTGAAATGAATGAGTTCTTAAGACCTTGATAATCAGTATTTCAGTAAGCATGTGAGGGTTTTTTTTTCATCGTTGAAATCCTGCAAGATGCATCTCTGGTCCCTGTGCTCCCTAATTTTGATCAGTTCAACTCTTTGCAGGCAAAGCAGTGGCAACCGAACCCCGACGAAACATTTCCCACCTGATTGGCTCGAATCATTCCAGTCCTTGAGATTGAAGAGTCCTCGGAAGGTGTCCCCAGCGTTGAGCTCGTTACAAGGTTACTATGGCCTTAAAGCAACAGAAAAAAAGATGATGTCCAAAGTTTTTGAAATGGCAGTATACAGGAAAGGAGAAGCTGACTATGTGGATGATGGTCAGTTCCTTGAACACTCTAACTCACTTTTGAGGCTTAAACGGAAGAGTAGAAGCGTAGCTAATGGATTTTATGACAAGAAAGGTGAAATCTTGGGGGATATCATGTCTGCGGGAGAAGCCAAAGACGGTGAACCTGATAAATCCAACGAGAAACTGATTAGAAGACGGCAGAAATCCGAGGCTGACTTTACTGCCCGTCTGTTGAAGGATGAAAACAACAGCAATGGTGGTGGAGGGCTCTCATTATCGAAACGACTGGCACCGAGATCAAAAGGTGGAAACCGCATGAGTTCAGGGGCAGTGGCGGAGGTTGAGGCGGAGGTTGAGGCGGGGAGGTTCAATCTCACATCAACAACCGTAGGAGATGAATTGGATGGATTTGAAGTGAGGAAGTCATCAAGCACATCGTGTTTGCATGATCATGAGGAGAACGGCAGCAGTATTGCTAGTAGTAGTTTGACATCACTGTGGCCAGTGTCAGCTCGTAAAAGCAAAACCGCGCTTGATTAGCTTCACTAGAGTAGAGTCAAATGCCATCCCCAAACTGCTATTCCATTAGTACATAATATAGAAAGAAAAGGTCTTGAAAAACAACACTTCATCAATTGAAATTAAACAATATTTTTTTGTCTTTATTGTACTTTTTTACCAACAAAAACTTTATAGATGCATCAACAATCTTTTTACTGCTAGAAAGAAGCAATTAAACCACGAGCCATTGGCCTTCGATCAATAACTTGATCGATTAACCCAAAGTCTTGACGTTCTTCAGGTTTCAGAAAACAATTCCTATCCATGTTCTTCTGAAACACATGGACCGATTGCCCTGTATGCTTGGAATACAAAACATTCTATGCATCCCAAACGCGAACGATCTGCCTAGTGTGAATGCTCAAATCTTTAGGGTGCCCACCAGAAGGGTGATGGATCATGATGATCGCATTTGGGACGGACCGCCTTTCACCTTTCCACCTGCTGCTAAATGGAGAGAAGCCACGTAAACCATCAGTGATGGATCTAATTTTTTTTTTTAAAGATGAACATATATATATTAATAATAATAAAATTTCGCATGGAGTGACATAAATCGCAAAATTTGTATTAAAAATAAGGGTAAACTACCTATGTAGTTAATAAATTATAGGTGAGATTTAATTTGACTATTTATTTATCAATTTTTTCAATCAGATCATTAATTACTTAAATAATATCAATTAAGTTATATCTCGTTAAAAAATTAATTCATTTCCATTTCCTACATCAAAACTAAACAATGGTAATCACAACACTTCATCTTTAGTTTCAATTACCGAGAAGATACATCTAGTTCTAAATTCAGTTTTCATCGATTTTGTGAAAATCAATTCGATTAGAAAAAAGACGACCGATAACAAGCTGTGATTCCTATCAACGATAGCCGAAAAAGTTCAATGGCTAACACATAACCTTTTTAAAGTTTAGTGAAAAAATCGAGATAATCCTAAAGTTTAAAGTCTAAAAAATTGGTATCATTCTGGGCATCGATAGTCGCACTAAAACGATGTCATTTTTCCACGTCATCACAGTGATTAATTAATTTATCTACATCATTGTCGTTAAATTTTAATAGTATAGTGGTATAATTGAAGTCGAAACTAAAGTTTAGTGTCATAATTAGAGCAGTTGAAACTTTAATAGTATACATGATATATCGCCTAAAATTTAGTGATATCTGATATAGTCTATTCTAAATTTTATAATATAAAAATAAAAATAAATATTTAAAATAGTATAAATAAATAAATTCTATATAGAAATTATTGAATTTTTTTAATTAAAAAATTAAAAATACTACAGGAATCATTTTAAAACCTAGTAATGTTCAAAATCCACAAAAACTAAATTCATTGTAAAAGAAGTATAAATGTTAAATCTAAAATTAATATAAAAATTAAATCAAATAAAATTGACCCATTTGTAACATGACTAATAATCGAGCGACTTGGTATATATTTTACCCTTGTTTTTATATAGGTAAATTTTTCCATATTACTCAATTATTAGTAAGGTTGCAAACGAGTCATCCATGTGACAAACAAATCAATTAATTAACTGTCACAAACAAATTACTAGGCTGTTAAAAATAAAAGAGAAAATCGCCTCAGTGACCAAAAAAAAGTTATAATATACGATTTTAACCAACTTTTTTTGGATTTGCCAAAATGACCAACAAAATCGCAACGCGAAATAAAAATCGCAACGCGATCCCCAGAATCGCAAATCAGTTTCCAGAATCGCAAATCAGTTTCCAAAATCGCAACGCGATTCTTGAAAATCGCGATGCGATAGTACAAATTCGCATTGCGATTTTCCATAATCGCAACGCGAATATGAAAATCGCAACGCGAACACATAAATCGCAACGCGTATCCGTAAATCGCAACGTGTATCCGTAAATCGCAACGCGTATGGGTAAATCGCAATGCGTATCCGTATATCGCAACGTGTATCCGTAAATCGCAACGATAATACATAAAATCGCAACGCGTATCCGTAAATCGCAACGCGATATTTAAAGCGCCATTATAATCGCTACGCGTATTTTATTTTCAAATTACAAAAAGAATATTAAGACAAAATCCCGTAATCGCAACTCATAACCTAAAACCTAAAATCACAACTCAGTCCCATCTCCATCTCTCACTCTCTACGGCGAAGAAATCCGTCCCCATCTCCGAAGATTTCCGTCCCCATCTCCGGCGAAATCCCTCACAACCATTCACGGTCAGAAATCCCTCACAATATTCAGAAATGGAAAATCAACCTCCGAGGGTTAGTTTTTTTAATTATTTTATTTTGAAATGTTTGCATTATTGTAGGTTTTTCATATTGAAACTGATGATAAGTTTACTGGTCATTTCAATAATAGATTAACCATTTCACTTAGATTTCATTTCGCGTTACGATTCTGTCGTTGCGATTTTCATTTCGCGTTGCTATTCTCTCGTTGCGATTTTCAAGTTAGTATTTGTCTTTGTCTTTGTTCTGTCTTTTGGTTGAAGTAATGCAATCCATTCAAGTTTCAATTTGCAGAAGAGTCGCAACGAGATAAATGAAAATCGCAACGAGAGAATGACTGTCGCAACGAGAGAATCGCAACGCGAAATGAAAATCGCAACGAGAGAATCGCAACGCGAAACCAAAATCGCATTGCGATTTTCATTTCGCGTTGCGATTCTCTCGTTGCAATTTTCATTTCGCGTTGCGATTCTCTCGTTGCGATTGTCATCTCGCGTTGCGATTCTCTCGTTGCGATTTTCATTTCAACCAAAAGACAAAACAGTGTTGCAAATTTTAGTTTCAAGAATAAACTACTACTTTTTATGTTTATTGTTTTTGGTATATCTTCACAGTGTAGTTTTTGGTATATCTAACTTGGTATGTTTATTGTTTTGTAGAAATTTTTTTCGGCTCAATTGACCTTGAGAAATAAAGTCAGCCTGGCCACTACAATTGCAAAGAAGCTTTCACCTGCTCAAAGACAATTGTTTGAGGAAACCTGCTTCGGGCCATGGCTGAGAGTACAGCATCCGGGTGGAGATGCTAATTTGACCCATTTGTGGCTTCAGACCATGACATCAAATCTACCCGACAGTATACAACGTGGTGAGGAAGAGATATGGTTTCATTTTCCACCAGCGTATACTTGCTTTGGGCGGAAGGAGTTCTGCTTAATCACTGGTCTACGATTCGGACACGATGATGTAGGCCGGTACACTCGTCATATCGCCCGCCCATCATGGTTATCCCGGGTTTTTCCGGATGAGTCAATGGAGAAGCCGAACCTACATGTTGACGACCTGAAGAAATTATTTAATAAGAAAGCTGGTTTCACTCGGATGGAAGACGTCGATGTTGTCCGAGTATGCCTTCTACTACTTGTGTATGCCGGCTTTTTAGGCAGAGAGGCCAGACAACCTATTCATCGGGAGCTAATAATATTGGTAGAGGACCTGAATGCATGGAATCTGTTTCCGTGGGGTTCGTATATATGGAAAGCTACCTGGACTAAGTTGTCGTCTGCCTTTGATGACCGCAAAAGTTTGCGGGGCGATGGGTCCAAATACACTTTGTCAGGCTTTGTTTGGGCCTTTAAGGTAAGAATTTCTATATAATGTTTCTAAAATTATAATTAATTATTTAACAATTACTAATTTTGTTATTATATTGTTTGTAGATTTGGATATTCGAGGCTTTCCCCAGCATGCGTACATATGCAATAAAAACGTCAAATGATATTCCCAGGGCTATTTCCTGGAAGAGGAAAACTCTGTTGGATTGGGAAGACTTAATACCATATGCCACAATAAATAATGTAAGTTAACACAAATACTTTCATATAATATATAAACAAGTTATTAATAGTAGACGTTTAACTTTGTTTGAGTTTTTATATTTTAGGAGGCCAACATTCCATTACAAAGACTGACACCCACGGAGGAAGAGCTTGCCACTGATTGGTGGCAAGCTAGTCAGAATTTTTTTGATGGCACGGATGATGAGCAGCATCCACTTCCTCCAATTCGAGAGCCATCACCTCACCTAGAGCCATCACCCGATCGAACCGACTATACACCTCTAGAACGAGAGCCATCACCTATCCCGTCACATCATCGAGCCTCTTCTCCACCATCACCTCATGATAGGCGACCGGCAAAGATGCCACGACTCCTATCTCCCTGTTCTCCACCTCCACCTCAACGGGATGAGTCAAGGGAGTTACGTGATGAGGTCAATGCCTTGCGTGAGGAGATCGGTACTCTACGCGATAACGATGGTGCATGGCGTGTGGAGGTGTCAACTTTACGTGGTGAGGTTGCCGCTCTACGTGAGATGATAGTATCGTTGCAGAATGAGGTTCATACTCTACGCAACGAGGTAAGTTTAAGATTTTCCATATTTAACTTAATGATAAATTTACTCGTAATTTCACTTAGATTAGCCATTTCACTTAGATTGCTTAGTAAATTTATTCGGTTGCTGCCAATTCTGCTAAACTGTGTATTCTTTAACACTGTGAAATAGTATTTGTCTTTGTTTTGTTTTGGTTGAAAGTAAATTTGTTCGGTTGCTGCCAATTCTGCTAAACTGTGTATTCTTTAACACTGTGAAATAGTATTTGTCTTTGTTTTGTCTTTTGGTTGAAAGTAAATTTGTTCGGTTGCTGCCAATTCTGCTAAACTGTGTATTCTTTAACACTGTGAAATAGTATTTGTCTTTGTTTTGTCTTTTGGTTGAAAGTAAATTTGTTCGGTTGCTGCCAATTCTGCTAAACTGTGTATTCTTTAACACTGTGAAATAGTATTTGTCTTTGTTTTGTCTTTTGGTTGAAAGTTTCAATTTGCAGAAGAAGAAATAGTTTACTTTCGCAACACGAAACTTAAAATCGCAACGCGAAACCAAAATCGCAACACGAAATGAAAATCGCAACGACAGAATCGCAACGCGAAACCAAAATCGCAACGACAAGATCGCAACGCGAAACCAAAATCGCATTGC